TACTCAAGTCTATATTGACAAGTACAGATTACCTCGGCTCTAGGCAAGTACAGATTACCTCGGCTCTAGGCAAGTACAGATTACCTCGGCTCTAGGCAAGTACAGATTACCTCGGCTCTAGGCAAGTACAGATTACCTCGGCTCTAGGCAAGTACAGATTACCTCGGCTCTAGGCAAGTACAGATTACCTCGGCTCTAGGCAAGTACAGATTACCTCGGCTCTAGGCAAGTACAGATTACCTCGGCTCTAGGCAAGTACAGATTACCTCGGCTCTAGGCAAGTACAGATTACCTCGGCTCTAGGCAAGTACAGATTACCTCGGCTCTAGGCAAGTACAGATTACCTCGGCTCTAGGAAATTAACAATTGTTCTGGGCTCCCTCTGGATTTGTTTTGTAGATATAATTTAACTTTATTTCTAGGACTTAATGTCAGGCTATAGAGTGAGTGATTGAGTTTAGTTCTACGCGCCGCTTTTAGTAATATCACGGCGGGGGCTACAAGAAGTGGGCTTCACACAGTGTACCCATGTGGGGAATCGAACCCGGGTCCTCCGCAAGACGGCGTGAACGCTCTAACCACTGGGCTACCCGCCCGCCCCGTCAGCCAATAGAAGCCGTACAAGGGGACAATCCTGTGATGTAGATGTTTTCCTCGGTAAAAACATGCTCATTAGAGTGAGTGAGTGAGTTTAGTTTTACAAAGCGGCGTAAAACCATACTCACTCACTCCTACTAAGCACAAAACGCTTTACGCCGCCTTGTAGCAATATTCCAGCAATACCACACCGGGGGACACCAGAAATGGGCTTCACACATTGTACCCTGTGGGGAATCGAACCCGGGTCTTCAGCGTGACGAGCGAACGCTTTAACCACTAGGCTACCCCTACGCCCAGTCTCATTAGATACATACCAGTATTTTACATCTGATAAGTAGAATCCCTTAATTTAAGTAGAAAAACCTGCTATTCAGATCCATTAGGTCCTAAGAGACATGTTGCATAGAAGCAATGACCTGACAAGTAGACGGTGGCGTTGGAAAGCCGTTACTAAGCCGTCCCTATCCCATCATTTATCAACAGACCGGTATTAATCCCCACCCGACCCACACTTAAATTCCCAATCAACAATCAGTTGGTATTGAGTTCATCTCGATAATGACCCAGATCATGCAATTATAGTACCGAAATAGCAGTTGATGAACTAGAAAACCTGTAAAGTAGAGAAGTATTCCTGATTCCTTTCATGGTTTAATCATCAGTGTTTTCAATATCGTATAAGACCAACTTGATCACTATTAATTGTCCATATGGAAGGACCTGTTATGAGCCAATGTAGCCCTGATCGTGAAAAATGTACTTATTTCTATCGGTATGCTTCTTTGAAAGGACAAAATGGCCATCCGTGGATAAATGAATTGTGTTGATGTTAGGGAATTGTTGATTCCGTTGAGTTTCACCTAATTCTACCAAGACAAATATTCTACTACATGACAATATTCAAATTTGGATAGTCTTGTGGTTTATTCATATGTTTATTTCCGAAGAAATCTGGAACGGTAAACAAGCAACCTGCTCATGTAAATACCTCGGCCAAAAGTATAAACAAGATAATGATAAACATTATGTACAAAGTGCATAGAAGCCAACACATGAAGCCAATATTTTGAAATCAGACGTGGCTGTGGAATAGAATAAAATAGTGCAGTTTTCTTTTTTTATTCTATATACAAACAAATCTTAAAATAAAGTTTTCAGACTCTTTTTGTCGTGAACTGATTGAAGGATGTTCATACTACTACTGACTAAACTATTGCCAATTAATATTATTATTGTACCAAGGTATGTAAAATTGCATAGTCTTCTGATATGATGGTGTTGACAGGTAAAGAGTAAAGAAATATATGAGTTGCATCCTCATGTTTGGACAATTAATATTATTATCAGGTCGTACCCATGCATGTAAATATACATAGTCTGTCCAATATTGTCATAGTGTTGACAGGTAAAGAGTAAAGAAAAAATAAGTTTCGTCCTCATGTTTGGAAAATTAATATTATTATCAGGTCGTACCCATGCATGTAAATATACATAGTCTGTCCAATATTGTCATAGTGTTGACAGGTAAAGAGTAAAGAAAAAATAAGTTTCGTCCTCATGTTTGGACAATTAATATTATTATCAGGTCGTACCCATGCATGTAAATATACATAGTCTGTCAAATATTGTCATAGTTTTGACAGGTAAAGAGTAATAAAGAATAAAGTCCAAGCCAGAATCGAATTCAAGATCTTGACCATTGTGTTCCAAGTGTCTACATGACCTAGCGCCTCAGTACCTCTCTGAACTCATCTCAGTGTACACACCACCACGACAGCTGAGATCACACCAACAGTTCCTCCTAACAACACCCCCTGTCAATCTCAAGAACTGCGGTCACAGATCATTCAGCTATGCTGCTCCTTCACTGTGGAACAGTCTTCCCATAACCATCAAAACAGCAAAATCTCTTGACTTATTCAAATCTTCATTGAAGACCCATCTTTTCAGGAAATATTACGAATGACTTGTACAATTGCTGCAGTGTTTTTAGCTTTACACACGGGGCGCCATGAGCATACACTAGTGTGTGGAAACGGCGCCATACAAGTGGACATTATTATTATTATTATTATTAAAGTAAGTTTCGTCCTCAACGTTATACCCTCAACTATTGTCTGGTATGTCTGCTGCATGGCGCCTAAACCTATTGGCATAAAAGTCATTGTTTGTCTTGTCACAACCTACTAGTACTTGAAAAGACTGATGGACAAACATGCAACCAGTTGAGAGACATATCTGTATGTACATGCAGAAATATTGCTGATGAATATGATTATATATCTCTCATTTTGTGAACGTTTGATGTCTATCATCCAATCCTATTTTACAAGAACCCCGCTGTAAAAACTGGTGAACTATAATCTATACACCCGTGCATTAATGAAGAACCACCCTATTTTGAAAATAAGCTGTAATGCTACAGAAAAGTTAAGGTATAGCCATCAATTTATTTAACCCATAGTTAAAGAAGCTTTATCCATTGACAGTTTTACAAATGCCATAACCTTTTCAATTCTTTATGAAAGAATATGTTGATGAAAATGTGAGGGGACTGAATTTTTACCCAAGGTAACTATTCCTCTCCTGCTCAAACTACACAATTAAATTAAGTTTTGACTAAAAATAACAATTCTGTTATATACCAAGATGACATTTACACATCAAGTAGGCTTTAATAAGGAGATAAATATCATGTGTTGGCTAACTTCCGGGGTGTTATTGAGTATTTGAAGCACGGGAATTCATTTGGAACCGACGGCGTCAGCCGGAGGTTTCAAATGAAATATTCCGTGCTTCAAATACTCAATAACACCCCGGAAATTCGCCAACACATGATATTTATCGACATTGTAAACACAAAAGTCAACTAAAAGGTCCACACACTTTTCTTGTGTCTGCACTCATTGACATCGAGTACGGGTACGGCAGTGAAATGTCATCAGCCGGCCGTTTCGGCTGTCTCCCATGGTAACATCTGGAACTGCTGTTTTGTGACGTCATTCGGACTTTACGTCACAATATGATTTTAATGACGTCACCACAGCTGACGACGTAACAATACAATGGTGTGAGCGATGTTTGTATGTATTAATACGCAGAGAATTTCCGGGAATCTAATACCATTTGATCACGTTTTTCAACCAATCAGATTAAAGAACACAGTGACTTTTGGTTTACAATTATGCATAATCAGAAAGAAACCTGAATGTCAAAGATTCAGACTGTTTTCCAACAATTCAAATTGCTAATTGACAAAAACTGAAAAAGGCAACATAAATTATATGATTTTGGAATAAATCTTTTATGATTTTGAGTTAATTGTATGGAATAAACACTTCTTGCCGGATACTGAAAATTTGTTTGTTTAGTTTGTAAAGCAATTTCTTCCTGCATTTTAAAATTTGTTTTAGTTTGACTGTAACTTTTCCTAAATCTTAGTTTACCACTTTTCATCCATTCACAATAAATAACGAATTTACAGGCCACATAACAATCAATAATTACTTCCACTTTTCAAAATAAGGTAACTTGTTTTAGGACAGAAAAACACCTGTATTAATTAAATTAATTAAAGTACATGGTAATTCAATGATGTTTTCGTTTTGAAATGCTAAATACTTGCTCTATCAAATTATAAAGGTTATTTTTGGGAAAGAGTTTAGAATTTCATTTCAGTCAAAATTAATTGGTAAAAATACAGGGTGGTACTTATTTTATGCTCGGATGTATATTTGAAACTTGCTCTTTCAAATTAAAAAGGTTATTTTTTGGAAAGAGTTAAGAATTTCATTTCAGACAAAATTATTTGGTAAAAGTACAAGGTGGTGTTTATTTTATGCTCGGATGTATATTTGAATGCAGAGGCAATGTTACCATGGAGAAGTAATCGATTTTCTGTAAATCCATAGTGAAGGGTTAAATTGATTCTTGTACATAATGTCGCGATGGAGTGTATCAGATGAAATGTCTTGTAGCTTTGAGCGAGGGAAAGTCATGTGGTTCAGGGACTGTGAGACAAATTATAAAGAAACCCTTTAATGGTAAAGTGATATGACTGGGATTGTAAAACAATGATAACAAAATCAAACAGGAAAACCTTTGAATGAAATGCATATTTAGTTTATATGTTTCTCCACATTCTGACACTTCTGCCGAGTGACATCTTTGCCTCTTTGAACAGTATTATACTGTAGTAATGAGTCAAGAAAATCCCCAATGAATAAAGTCGTAGATCACAAGTGTGGTGGAGGAAGCTAGAAATATTGTCAAGGAGAACATGGCAATCGAACGCCAATCCGCGGATCCCGGCATACAAAGGGAGGTAATCTATACTGACCTCCTAGACCCCAAGCTTATATTTGTAAGTGATTAATGCATGTATGATTAAAACTACTTACGTAGGTGTGGATACAATAATGTCCTTCTGTCTTAGTAACCCGATAGCCAATATGATTGCAGCTGCAATTCATGTTTCTTCTACTCCGCGGCCATAGTTTGTCACTGCACAGAGATGAACCTTTAGACAGACATGACAGCAACCCAACAATGTCTCTAGCACAACCTGCTTGCACTAGTTTCTTCCTCGGGTGAAATTAGGTGTCAGGTTTGTCTCTTGGCTTGGCATTACGAAACAGTTTCAATAATTACTTGAGTTTTTAAACGCCTTCGGTCTCACACGACGCCATCCAGAATATACGAACGTTCGGTTGAAATATATTGAAAACTCGTGGAGTTAATCAGCTTATATAGCAACTGTCACCGTGTCTTCGTATTGCATGTAATCGTTGCTTGGATGTCGCATTTCATCTTCGTCTTGGAAGACTTATATGTCGTCACGGCATCGTCCATATTCCTGTGTCTTGTACAGTTTGATGAAACGTCGAAGTGCGGTTTCCGTGGAACGATCGACACAAGCGACATTTCCTAACATTTCCCGTTTCGCACATGTTGTTTTCGCGAAAAACGCTATCGACAATTGTTTACTTTCAAGTTACTTCACGTAATGTCAGAAATGAGGTCAAGGCGACATGGTTGAATGTGTACATGGTGACAATAGCGGTTGTCTCCCTTATCCCACTTTCTTAACGTGTGCTGGATGAGGTGTCTGTGCTGTGCGTTACCGCGCCGTTATTTGTATAAACGTTGTTAAAAGTTGTCATCACAATCTTCCCGTGTCCTTGCATTGACAAGTCAAGACAGTTTTTTACATTCAAACAGACCAGGATGTCAATAATATCACAGTGAGAATAAGTGAGTACGGTTTTACGAAACTGTTAATTAACAATAGTCAAACACCTTTGTGACGAACTTTGATAAGTCGAACTTCCGGTTATCTCGAAGTAAACGCTTGATCCCAGCTTATTATGTCGTTTTGCGGTTGATCTCGAAGCAAACAGCTTGATCACAGCCATAACCTCCGCTTATAAATAATGTGGACCAGACAATCCGGTGATCAACATCATGAGCTTCGATCTGCGATTGGGAACCGATGTGTGGTCAACCAAGTCAGCGAGCCTGACCACCCGATAACTATGAAGCATTTACTGAAGATCAAATAAAGTTCCTTATTCAGCATTTACGGAAGTTCCTTCAGCTTCGACACAAAAATGTTTGACTACATCACAGCCATAACAAAGCGACTGAGTGAGTGAGTGAGTTTAGTTTTACGCCGCACTCAGCACTATTCCAACTATATGGCGGCGGTCTGTAAATAATCGAGTCCGGACCAGACAATCCAGTGATCAACTTCATGAGCAGCAATCTATGCTTATTATTAGGGCTGCGCAATATTTACCGGTTCAAACATGAAAGGGCGGTGGGGTAGCCTAGTGGTTAATGCGAAGGCTCGTCACGCCAAAGGCCCGGGTTCGAATCCCCACATGCGTACAATGGGTGAAGCCCATTTCTGGTGTCCCCCGCCGTGATATTGCTGGAAGATTGCTAAAAGCGGCGTAAAACCACACTCACTCAGTCAGTCAGTCAGTCAGTCAAACATAAAAACGATACGTATTGCGATACCCTGATCAAAAACCGGTATTTTGAATTGCATTCGGAAAACGTCGTAACACTCGGAAATCTTCGGATATTTCATTTGTGCCAAATATTATTTACATTTCTATTTTGTCATGATAAAGGTTGTTGTTAAAGCTTAATCAAGCATAGTTATTTTGTTGTGTTTTTGCTCTATAACTCAAGCTTTAACTCGATTATAAGTAGTTTTTTGTTTTAAAATACTTCTTGCAATATATTGCAATACATATCGCAATATATGCTTTCACATCGCAATATATCGCAATATGAACATTCTCTGCAGTACCCACCCCTACGTATTACGTAACTCGATGCATTCAAGGAAGTTCCTTCAGCTTCGACACAAAGATGCTTGACTACATCACAGCGATACAAAGCGACTGAGTGAGTGAGTGAGTGAGTAAGTGAGTGAGTGAGTTTAGTTTTACGCCGTACTCAGCACTATTTCAACTATATGGCGGCGGTCTGTAAATAATCGAGTCTGGACCAGACAATCCAGTGATCAACATCATGAGCTTCGATCTGCGCAATTGGGAACCGATGACATGTGTCAACCAAGTCAGCGAGCCTGACCACCCGATCCCATTAGTCGCCTCTTACGACAAGCATGGGTTACTGGCGATCAATTCTAACCCGGATCTTCACGGGTACTAAAGCGACTGACATCAGAAATAGGCTTTACACTTGTATGGAAAAGCGAACCTGGGTCTGTGGCGTGCTCAACCACCCACCGCTCTCAGACTTGCATGCCCTTTTTTATCTGATAGGAGTGAGTGAGTATGGTTTTAAGCCGTTTTTTATCAATATTCCCGCAATATCACGGCGGTGGACACCGGAAATGGGCTTCACACATTGCACTAAAGTCACGCCGAAGACCCGGATTCGATTCCCCACATGGGTACAATGTGTGATGCCAACGCAACTCTTGACACAAGACACTGTCAAAAAAATTCACACCAGAAATCGTCGACACTGGTCAACAAGGTGAATACCGTAAAAACGAAGGATGTGAAAAAGGATGTTTTTTGTCAACCCGGTCTAGTTCACTACCAATACATACCTATTACATGGTTGCTTCCACTGTCGTTTCAAGAACGACACTTGTTTTACTAGCGCCATGAATTGGAAGCATTACTGGAAACACACCTGTTATACTGACGTCATCGTTTCATGTCTTCCTGAAAACGAGGTAAAATGCTCACAGTCCTGAAGACGTCATTGGGAAACCCCCCTATATTCGTCGCCTCCTCAGCAGGAGAGCGACGATCTTTATTTACGACAATGCTCGTAAGATAATGAATTTACGAATGGATTAAGAACGCTTTGTGGATAGGTCGTAAAAATTAGTAAAACTTTCTTATTTTCGATCGTAAACTCTTACGAATAACGTAGGCTACGAACGCTTTGTGGATCCGGCCCCTGAAGAGCATTTTAATTCCCATTGAAAGCCCTCGACCTGCAAATAAAATAAGTACATATAACTTTGACATCCATGGGGCCAGAGAAAGCTTTTGATCTTGTGCTCCTCGGTCTGTCAGCTGCTTTTGACACTACTGAACATACCATATTGCTAAACAGACTCAAAGAACGCCCTTCAGTGGATCAAGTACTATCTTTCTGACTGTACCATGTCCGTGAAGGTTCGAAGAGCTTTCTGTCACATTAAAAAGTCACTATGGTGTTCCTCAAGGTTCTGTTCTCGGACCACTTCTGTTTACTGTGTACATTCTACCCATCGGAGATATTATGAAGAAACATTCTTTGCACTTCCACCTCTATGCTGATGATAATCATCAATATATTTCCTTCGAAACAGCAAAACTCGCTATCAACATCGCAAGACTCGAGCTGTGCATCAATGACACGCGGCACTGGATAATTACCTCAAACTAAATGACAGAGTTCTTTTTATTCTCGGGGGCGGTGGGGTAGCCTAATGATTAAAGCGTTGGCTCGTCACGCCGAAGACCCGGGTTCGATTTCCAATGTGTGAAGCCCCTTTCTGGTGTCCCCGCCGTGATGTTGCTGGAATATTGCTAAAAGCGGCGTAAAACCAAAATTTAGTCAGTCAGTCTTTTTATTCTCGGGTCTAGACAACAGCTAAGAAAACTTAATCATTGGTCCTTTGTCTTCGCATTGGCGACATTACTGTTTCTCCAACAACCAGCGCTCATAATCTTGGAGTCTCCCTCATAAGTAGAGCTGTTTTCATTGCATTTATAAAGTTCGCCATTCCATGGATACTCAGACAGCTAAATTGTTGATGCAGTGCCTTAGGTCTTCCAAGCTGGATTATTGCAATGCTCTCTATTAGTGGTGTAACGATTCTTCGATAGTATCGACGTTTGCATCGTCAACTACGCGATACGAATGCATCGATGCAAAACACATTTAGGCAGTATATCAGGATATTTATATCGCAACGGTCCATGATACATCGATGTATCGCCACAAGAGACGATATATCCCGATACAACTCAAATACTACTTAAAGTTGTAAGGAGTATTGCATAAGGAAAAGGAAGTGAGTCTCTTTGAAATCCTTTGAATTTAAAAAAAAATTGAACCTCATACAAATGTGTTTGTGTCTGCTATGTTTGTTACAGAGTTGAAAGAGTGTGAACAATTTTTAAACTCTTAACTGTAGAATACTTGTCTTCAAGTCACTGAAAAATGTTTTAGTTGTTTGACAAATAACACTATTAACATCTATGAAGGATGGCTTAGCTTTGTTATAAAAGAGAACGAAGAGAAGATAAAATTTAGAAAGCATACTTAAGAGTTTTTTCAGTTATTCTGAATTATGATATAAATTACATTGAATTGTTTGTGAACGCATTGTTGCAGAAACACAACTTCAGTTTCAAACTTACGTATGTTTGATCAAAGTATAATGAATATGTTTGACTGTGCTTTCTTAAACATTAAATGCTGAAACTTTATTAGATGAACAGCTTTTTAAGTGTGTGTGAATGTAACACAGGTTCTGCTGTATAACAAATAAAGTTTCAGTCATTTTATCTATCATATCTGTTCTGTCTTTAGAAATTGTAAAGTATCGGGATACGTATCGTATCGTGATGAAAATCGTCCCTCAGCTTCCTTGCCAATACTTTCATGATATATTGTCTCGCTTCATTAAACTGGTACCGGGATGTATTGTTTCGCCACTTAGACCACACAGTTCTAAACTCTCTATGTAGTTACAGAGAATTCAGAATTCTGCAGCTAGATGCATCGCAAAGATTTCTAGATCTGAACACATCACTCCTGCTCTCGAAACCTTGCACTGGCTTCCCATCTTCTCTCGAATCATCTTCAAGATCTGTATTATCATCCTTGACTGCCTCAACAATTATATCTATCCTTCATACCTCAAGGACTTGCATGATCTCCCTGTATTCTCATGAACATGCACATCGATCCTATACGGTGGCGCTCTACTTAATCAGCCTCAGTCTACTTTATGATTGATATCTACCCGTGAAGATCCGGGGTAGAATATTGGCCTTCAGCAACCTATGCTTGTCGTAAGAGGCGACTAACGGGATCGGATGGTCAGGCTCACTGACTTGGTTGACACGTGTCATCGGTTCCCAATTGCGCAGATCGATGCTCATGCTGTTGATCACTGGATTGTCTGGTCCAGACTCGATTATTTACAGACCGCCGCCATATAGCTGGAATATTTTTGAGTGCGGCGTAAAACTAAACTCACTCACTCACTCACTCCATGATGTCTGACGGTGCCTTCTCAGCCTGCAGTTCCCAGCTATGGAACTCTCTGCCATCTGAACTAGACTTTCAGGATTGTGTGTTTACATGTGCATGGGCTTGGTTTTCCCTTTGTCATAGCGCCAGTGAGCACCTGCCGATGGATACTAGGCGCTTTAGAAATCAACTATTATTTATCTATTATGTTTCTTATTGTTTAAGTGTTAGATACTTACAATTAAATTAAATGAATGTGGCATTTTAGATAAGATATAGTGCCAAGGGTTGAAAGGTTTAATTCTTGCTCGATCCTGGACGCCGCAGATTTCAAGTTGCACGGGAGTGGTCTTTGTAGCCAAGACGATCGAGCGTATGACCTAAATGCTCGTGAGCATCAATCTACGCAGAGGGTTACGATGGTATGCATCAACCAAGTCTACGAGCCGGATAACCAGATCCGTTTGTCTGTCGCCACCAACGCACGCACGCACGCACGCACGCACACACACACACACACACACACATATTGCTGAAAAACAATTCTTATCCTCATCCTCGCGATGAGCTGTTTAATTCGTTGCGTTTGATGATAGTAGTAGTACGAGTGAGTGAGTGAGTTAGTTTAGTTTTACGCCGCACTCAGCTATATTCCAACTATATGGCGGCGGTCTGTAAATAATAGAGTCTGGCATGAACATCGATCTGCGCAATTGGGAACCGATGACATGTGTCAACCAGTCAGCGAGCCGGACCACCCAATCCCGTTTGTCGCCTCTTACGACAAGCATGGGTTACTGAAGGCCAATATTCTAACCCGGAGTAGTAGTAGTAGTAGTAGTAGTAGTAGTAGTAGTAGTAGTAGTAGTAGTAGTAGTAGTAGTAGTAGTAGTAGTAGTAGTAGTAGTAGTAGTAGTGGTAGTGAGAATGAGAACTACCCTTGCATGAACGTATCAATTGTCTTTGATTCCATCATTGTACGACACTAACGTTGAGCATTATGTATTTGTATAGAAGAGAGACAAATGACATGTTTATGAGAAATGAAATAAAAAATCATAAAATATTTGTAATGGGAATTCTTTATGTAGAATATGCCACCATTTACATTAAATATGAATCTTATTCGTTTAAATGTGCTATTTGATTGGGTATTTTGGTCGTAGTTGTTTAGTGGATAGTAATAAACAAATTATGCTCGATTACCTCCCTTATATCTTCTGTTTCGTTTAACCACACTTCTAAAAGCATCGTATATTGTCCGTACTGGATTATCGAGTATATGAAGACACGACTCACTTCCGGGCTTTTTGTAGACTTTTGTTGATGTGTGATATTGATAATGTTTTATGTGTGATCTCTATTTTGCATTAGTTGTCGAGCACTGAAATAATGGCTGTAAGTATAGGTATATTTAGAGACTAATTGCTAGTCAGTCAGTTAGTTAAACGATGTCTGTCTAGATTCTGACGTTGATCTTAATTTTGTCATTTTTCGTAATTGTCACAAAATCACGTCGACTGCATATCGACAACGTGGGCTGTCCCTGGCTGTCAGCAACTTGCGTACTGCAAGAAAGTGTAAAAGACGTTGGAACGTGTAGCCTGCAGAGAAATGTACGCACTCGGTGTACAGCTGTGTGGATAAAACCTGTTTACCATGGGGGACAGTGTTCACAACTACAGCAAGTCGCAAGATATGGACTTATATTTATATACACCACTCTCTAATATCGTATATCTTTGTGCATAAAGCGTTTTTTTTACTTCGAATGGGGATTTAAGGAAGGCGGGGTCTTCTTATGCGCGAGGTAGATCTGACATATATTTTCCAGCTGTTTCACGTTTTCAAGTTCAACTGGTGATGTCAACAAGGGTTTGATAGGCATGCATTGGTGTTGGTTAAAAATAAAACTTCTTATTTACCCCCCAAAAATGTTCATTGGACTATTTTTTTAAATTATATCACATTTCTATTTGAATTTCTATTTGAGTAAGCAAATGTGGAATCATCTCAAAGCATCTGTTCTGCATGCTTTATTTTGTATTTATTCAAACTTCATAGAACACAAAACCAAAAACAAAATGTGCTTTTCTTTACTTGAGGTGTCCTCAACCTGTTCCACACACAACTGAACACATGTTCTTCCTGATGATTTTAACAAGTTTGTGCAGGAGATAGTAATAAAGCATGCTAACATGCTGTAAGTTAAGCAAACATAGGCATTGAAAATTATTATGCCATTTATTGATGATTTGTTTCCAGGAAATACATTTCAAATGTATCCTTATGTTGTAACTTCACAAATTAAATTAATATTGCTTGTACCAGTTTTGTGTTGCATCATGTCAGCTGAAAACAGTGCGGTGTGCAGGAATCATACACACAACAAAAAAGCATCATAGAAAACAACAAAGAAAGGCAAATCTAAGAATAGTGTATGCAGCGGCGATGTGCTTCATTCCAAAACATTTATATTTTAGTACTGATTTTAAAGGCTTTTACAGGTCGGTTTGCACTAACACATGGCGATATATTGTATATAAAAGTGCTCTTGCTATATATAGTTATGTGCAGTGTAATGCCATATCTGTGCTCTTGAGTTTCTGAGAATTGCGTCACTTCAGGCAATACTGTGCAGGGATCATGATTATTTAAAATCAATTTAAATCGTATTGAAGTAGAAATCATTGTAAATTTTATATCACTAACACCCGAGGGTAATCTTTGTTTTGTTGTGTTCAGGAGGCGGAGGGGGCCGACAGCAAGATGGAGGAATCTGGGACGAAGAGTCCAGCATCAAAGGTGCGACAGTTGGCTGAATTAGTAACTCAATGTTTGAACATTCAAATATATCCCTGAGGGGATACTGGGTCAGAATTGTTCCCCAACGACCAATGCTGGTCATACAGCTTGACTCGGTGATGTGTCCGATTGTTTGTCATTGGATATCAATGTTGTATGTCAGTGCTCATGCCTTTAGTCACTGGTCTCGCCTCCACATTTGATTATTTAGTGCTTTGAGCAAGATATTCATCCTGGAATGGCGTTATACAAGTGGACTATTTTTATTATTATTATTTGCAAGCTGTCATAGTGTGGCTGGAGTATTTGCTGTGTGCAGTTGTAAATGTTTCAGATATTTGGTGTTCAACATTCATTTATTGTCATGTGTTGGTTTCCCCAAGTTGAAACTAAGACGTTAACCGGGAATCTATAACAGAATTAGGTGGGAAACCAACAAACAGCAAAGAAATGTGCTGTAATGAAAGTTGTATTCTAAAACTGACAAACTTACATTCACAAATCAATACAAAGGCATCACCATGGCAGTACAAAATATACTGGACAAAAATAGTTAGGGATATATGTAAATTTTGAAATTATGAATAATGATCTATTTTTTCATTGACACACTGATAAAATATCAATCATAAAAATACCAATATCCCTAACTTAGTTTGTCCAGTATAGTACACATTCAAAGGTGATATAATACAAGAGCAGTGTTTATAGCAGTGAGCACAAATATGATAATATTCACCTCCCAGCAATGGTAATCAAACTTGCAACTATTCTGAGTAATCCAGGGTCCTGACCCACGAACATTATGAATGGTCTCCCTGGACTCTCCTTCTCTACACAAGAATGCTTTGTGGATCAGGACCCTGGACACAATGATCATTACTAGTGGTGGTCCCATTAATTGAAATAATCGAAGATTGGTCGCAGTGACTAGACGACCAAGCAATCGATCATGTTTTCTCATAATCGAACACAAACAATTCTAGAACACTTGTTTTCATTAACAGTATTTTTCACTAGGTTCGTTTTGTCTGTTACATTTCATAAGCACTACAAGCTCGTTCCAAGTCATGATTGAATTTATCTTAAAGACTCTAAGAAATTGATGTTCCTCCATACTAGTCATCCTTTAAAGATGTGAAATTTTGCCACAAAAACCCCAAAGAACTACATGTTTTTTTCCTTATTTTTGTGTGCATTAACACATTTCATAAATGATGCTAACCAATTATTTTCGATGATTGATCGGTTGTAATGAACCAATCATCAATTATATGATTTTAACCAATTCCCAACACTAATCATTACACACAAAGCTGGTCTTCTTGTAACCTGAGATGTAATGTAAGATTTGAGGGAAGAATCAACTCTCCTTATATACACAAGAATAAGATGCCAGAATATTCGCAATGCTGTCAGAAGATTCTAGAATCAGCTACTTGCAGCACTTTCCAGATTTTTCTGTCTGAATCTAGTACAAGGCTCAGCATAGCAAAGTGCAGCTCCTCGCTGAATATCACATGTACAATGTATTACACTGCAACATTGTTACACATTAAATGTCACCGCCACATAACAGTATCAAATCAACTAAATGGTTTTTCATGGTTTCATATTGGAATTTGCCAACAGGCAGACAGTCAAACAGACACAGCTTTTTGTTTCATAGGTATGTTACATAGAATGTTTTCAAAACTCTAATTCATAATTCAATAACCAAAGAACAACCCAAATAAACAGTTTCTGACTACATGCATGACATGTGACGCTATCCTGGTTTGTTATACTTTGGTTGCCATGGTTTCAGCTGGACACGTTGTCAAGGGAAGATCTTGTCAAGTTTGTCAAAAAGCAAATGGTGATGTTTCAAAAGACAAAGGCCAAAGTAGAAGGTACAGATCATGAGAATAGCTTGTTGTCTTCATTGTAAAATGTTCTTTGTCTGTGATGATGATGATGATGATGATGTTAGTGAGCGAATGAATTAGTGAGTATAGGTTTATGCAGCTTTAAGCAATATTCCAGCAATATTACAGCAGCGACACCAGAAATGGGTTTCACACATTTTACACGTAAGAAATCGAACCCGGGTCTTCGGCATGACACTTTAACCACTAGGTTACCCCACCGCTTCTGATGATGATGATGATGATGATGATGATGATGATGATGATGATGATGACGATGATGATGACAATGACGATGATGACCCCCGACCACTAATGACATAGTCATGACGGTGCCTCTGTTTGTCACACTGCTTATCACAGTAGGGCAATATTGCAAAGCAATGTATCCACAGCATGTAGAAAAGCTGAATTATGAATTAATTTTCAATCCGTCTGTGCAGCACATGTGCTACTTCTTTTCAAGCAAGTGATAATTACTTTATCCTGTATTTGTGTGCAGATCTGACGAAGAAGCTGCATTCTGCTGAAGGCAAACTGAGACAGGAGACAGCTGGCACTCATGAAGAACTCGTCAACGAGGTTCAGGTAAATCAAGGGCCATAGGTAGCCCAGTTGTCACTAACTCCCATAGGTAGCCCAGTTGTCACTAACTCCCATAGGTAGCCCAGTTGTCACTAACTCCCATAGGTAGCCCAGTTGTCACTAACTCCCATAGGTAGCCCAGTTGTCACTAACTCCCATAGGTAGCCCAGTTGTCACTAACTCCATAGGTAGCCCAGTTGTCACTAACTCCCATAGGTAGCCCAGTTGTCACTAACTCCCATAGGTAGCCCAGTTGTCACTAACTCCCATAGGTAGCCCAGTTGTCACTAACTCCCATAGGTAGCCCAGTTGTCACTAACTCCCATAGGTAGCCCAGTTGTCACTAACTCCCATAGGTAGCCCAGTTGTCACTAACTCCCATAGGTAGCCCAGTTGTCACTAACTCCCATAGGTAGCCCAGTTGTCACTAACTCCCATAGGTAGCCCAGTTGTCACTAACTCCCATAGGTAGCCCAGTTGTCACTAACTCCCATAGGTAGCCCAGTTGTCACTAACTCCCATAGGTAGCCCAGTTGTCACTAACTCCCATAGGTAGCCCAGTTGTCACTAACTCCCATAGGTAGCCCAGTTGTCACTAACTCCCATAGGTAGCCCAGTTGTCACTAATTCCCATAGGTAGCCCATTCTTTTTCACAGAGATCGTCCTTGGGGTACATATTATGCATTTTCCGGCTGAAAAATGTCCTGTGACAGTTGTATCAATGTTTTTTGAATAAAAAGATTGAACAATAAATAAACTCTTTTATTTATTATACGGACCCTACCTCACGGAGTTACCTCCCTTAGCGCATGCGCACCAACTGGGTAGGCTCCTAGACCCGTATCATCATTCCTTCTGCTGTCACTGCTGTGAACAGACGTTATATGTAACCATTCATGAGCCGTTACAGCGCTGAATACGCTATGTCTGAGACACCACCTGTATGTTTGGTCTTTATTTGCCTAAAACAAGGAACAGTAAAGCTTTACAGTTGGTTGTTTCATAATTGTGACTTTGTATTAATTCAAAATCGCGAACTTTCCGTGGTTTACGCAAGTGTTGCTCTGCCATGGCGGGAAGTTTAGCGTGCCGGCGTGGTCGTAATATTGCGTATTAAAACCAACTATTACTTTTCGTGGTAACCTTCGCGTATTTTTCAATGTTTTCTCGTGTTTATATGCTGCTGGCGCCGTTAACTAACATGCTTGCGTGTTTGTTTTCAGGCCTTTTCATCCTGTTAGGTCTGTGGGGGTAGTATCCCCGGGCGACAGTCATAAACTGTGTTGCCTGTCTGGAAAAGGCGGGACCACGGCGCTGATTCCTGCCCTATTTGTCTGGCCTTTTCCCCGGGCCCAGAAGAGGCGGCCCGATCGTTGTTTTATCGTGAGATCGTGGCGGGAGGGACCTGGCGCAGGGTCCCCGTCTAAAACAAAGCGAGCGTCAAAAAGGGAAAAAATCCGAGGCCCTTCCCCTCTCCTGCCGCCCAGTGGTTTTGACATGTCGGTAATGGAATCTATGTTTCAGCAGCATATGGCCTCCGTGAAGTCCGCCGTTCGGGAGTCGGTTGGAGGTCTCCGGCAGGAGTTCCTCACCCACTCGGACGGGCCGAGAGTCGAGGTGGGATCGCCGGGCTCGGCTCGATCCCTCAGCCTTGAAGGCGTCTGTAGATCCGTTGCCTCTGGCCCGGATCCGGGCCCTCGGCTGCTCGAGGAGAGGAGGTGCTCCCAGTCCCCTCTCGGAGTTAAGCGCAGGAGACCGTTGAGTATTCCTGGTATTCCGGTCCTTGCGCACCGCCCCATGAGGCGGAGGCACCAGTTCTGCCTGGCCTGCCTCCAGCGTCACCGGGACGGGAGTCCACGCGCGCCCGGCTGGCTGGCGTGGAGCCGTCTGTCTGTTCTTCCCTTCCTGTGGTTCCTAAGCTAGGCAGTCCACGGGTCGGGGTTAGGGTCCTCTTACGGAGGAGACCCAGCCACCGGACTTCGGGCTCGGCGCCGAGTCAATGGAGCTTGGGGAGGTTGAGGAGCATGGCCGGCGGCTTCCGTTTTGCCGACCTTGCGGGAGGTCCGGCAGAGAAATTGCGAGGGCCTACCCAGGCAGCGGTGCCTGCTGGTTGCGTGGACTTCGACTGAGTTCCGCTTGCCAGGCGGCGTTTGCCCCTAGGCAACCCACGCATGAGCGCAGCTCCGCATTCTGCCGCCGTTGGTCACCGGGTGTGGTCGATCCCCTCTTGTCTGGTGCCCGATGCGGTTTGACTTACGGATCTCGTGCTTGGCGCTACCACTTGGGGAGGATTCCCTGTTCGTTGTGCCAATTGTAGGCGAATGTGTGTTCACTTCCGTTAAGCCCTGGGGAGGCTCGGCTTCCTCGGGCAGCTCTCGGCTGCTTTCGGCAAAGCGCCTTACTCCACCTTTGCCCTGGCGAGGCATCCCCTGCTGACGCGCGTGCGGACCCTCTGAGGAGGTCTGCGGGCAGCGATGCAGCAGGTGCGGGTGGTGGTCCATGAGGCCTACCTCTCCTCGGTTCAGAGAATGCGGCCCTGGGCGGAGGGCATGCTGGCGGCGATGTCGCCGCATGTCGATGCTGCTCCGTCAGCTTTCGGAAGTTCAGGCTCACCTGCGCGTAGCGACTCTTTGCGGTCTGCTGCGTCGGCGGTGATGTCGCGCCAGTCATGGGGATCGCCAGGCTGTGGCTGTCGGCGTCTAGGTACTTTCGGCAGCAACACAGCAGACCTTGCTGGCCCTCCCTTTCCGTCTGGGGCGACCCTCTTTCCCGGGGCCCAGCAGGTCATCACGGGGAGGCTGCGCTGCAGCTACCTCCTTCAAGGACTCTAAGGCCTTGTTGGAGCACCAGCGGGTGTCGCCCCAGCGGCTCCCGTGCCACCTTCCTCCGCCGGGGGTGCAGCCTACACCCGAGTCTGCCGGCTGGCCGGCGCTTGGTAGGGTAGTGGCGGAGGAACAGGTCCGCCAAGGGTAGGGGCAAGGAGCAGTCCTCGACTAGCTCCCAGCCTTTTCAGCGGTAGCGGGAGGTCTGCCCGACCTCCGTTAACCCATCAGGCTGCGCTCAAGCCGTGTGTCGCGCCCAGTCAGCTCCGCTACCGGGTCTACACCGCAGCTCCTACCCATATCCCAGTGGGAGGCCGCCTCTCTCTATTCCTGCGGAATGGGAGAAGGCTACCAACAACAGCAGGTGCTGGCCGCGGTCAGCATAGGCCATCTCCCACTGTGGGCGAGTCCGCCCGACTTCACCGGCATCGTCGCACTCCGGTGCCGTCATGTCAAGCCAGAGGCGGACATATTGCTTGCGGCGAAGTTCAGGCTCTGCTGGACAAGTCCGCAATCGGCGCATTCCACCGGGGAGAGGAACAGGCGGGATTTTATTCCGCGTACTTCCTGCGTCGAAGAAAGGCGGCGGGTTCCGTCCGATTCTCAACCTCAAGGGGTTGAATCGCATGCTTTCGAAGTACCATCCTTCAAGATGGAGACACTGCGCTTCGGTGATCTCATCTGTTCAGCCCGGCGATTGGCTCCGTCAATCGACCTAAAGGATCGCGTATCTGCATGTACCCATACATCCATCGTTCAAGCAGTACCGCCGGTTCTCTTACGGCCGGGATGTATTACCAATTCAGGGTGCTCCCCGCCCGGCATATCGACTGCCCCAAGGGTGTTCACCAAGCTCATGTTAGTCCCAGCTACCCTAGCTTCGGCTCGCCAAGGAAGGCGTTGTTACCCTTACCTAGGCGACTGGTTGCTCGGAGCACTAACACAGCCAGCGAGTCAAGATGCTACTCACACAGTGATAGACATTCTAACTTCGACTGGGGTGGATCATCAACCTCAAGAAATCCGACCTGGTACCCACCCAGGACTTGGTTTTCTTGGGTAGCGATTCAAGCGAACAAGGATCTCGTTTCCTTGTAAGCCCGACCGGGTCACCAGAGTTAGGAGATGGTATCTTCATTCCTCTCCCAGCCCCAGGCACCAGCACGGACTTGGCTCCGTCTACTGGAGCCATATGGCGGCGGACGATCTCTGTAGTGTGGCGGTTGAGGATCGTCCCATACAGCAAGCTTTGGCTCGGCTGTGGACTCACCGCGGAGGATCTGGGCGCAGTCTCACAGTCCCAGTGGTTGACACCTCACCTTCAGTGGTGGACAAATGTCGGGGAATCTCACCAGGGGTTCCCCTTGGAAATCGGCGCCAGCTCTCACAGTTCAGACCCGATCGTCCCTCACGGGCTGGGGGTGTTCTGGGCAGTCTGTCGGCTTCCGGACTCTGGTCGAAGCGAAGCCCACCTTCACATCAGCGTGTTGGAACTGAGAGCTGTGCGGTTGGTATTGGCTTCAGAGAGCATGTCATTGGCCAGGTAGTCCGTCTTCAGTTAGACAACCAGGCGGCCATGTCGTACATCCTGAAGCAGGGGAGGCCGCGGTGTCCCAAGCTCCTCGGGAGGCGTGGGACTTTCTCCTCTGAGTGCGACCAATGCGATTGTCAGGTACTCCCTGTTTATCTCCGGGGCTGGAGAGCGTGCGAGCAGATCGCGGCTCTCGCGGATCCTGGCCCTTGCAGTGGATGCTTTCGACAGGCAGATATTCACAGTAATCTCCCAGTTATGCGGGTGCGTTCGAGGTGGATCTGTTTGCGTCGGCGGGGCGCATCAGACACCGTGTTCTGCTCGGATACGGACCCAGAGGCGTTGGCTGCCGGCGCCTTCCTGCTGGATTGGGCGGGCAAAGTGCTCTGGGCGTTCCCGCCGTTACCACTCATTCCCGTGTCCTTTCACAGCTGTCCACCCAGCCAGCTTCGGCTACTTGTGCTACTGGCACGCTTTGGCGTCACAGAGCTGGTTTCGGTAATTCTCAGGTTTCTGGCTCAGCCTCCTGTTCTATTACCTTTGCGACCCGGACATTCTCACTCAGAGCGGGCCCACCCAAATCCCGCAGTTCAGTGGGTGGCTTGGCCTCTGTCAGGTCTAACCTCGAGGCAGCGGAATTCCTGCAGCAGTTGCAGACACAATTCTGGCCGGTGGGATTGACAAGCGTTCAATGCGAGGATAGGTGGTCCCGCTATGCGGCGCTGGTGTTCAGATAAAGGGGATTGCAGATCCCTTTTCTGCGGATTTAGTCAGTATTGGAGTTTTGCAAGCTCGTTTGGAAGAAGGCCTGGCGGCCGACCATTGGCGGCTACTCCACGCTATTTCCACTTTTCACACCCCTGTCGATGGTGCTCTTCTGGGGCAGCACCCTCTCGTCTGGCGCTTTCTGGCTGGCGGAGCGGATTCGACCTGCTCTCAGGCGAACCAGTCCACCTTAGGATTTGTCGATCGTGCTTTCGATTGGCTGTCGGTCCCACTTTCTCACACCTATCGGCTATTTCCATTCAGTTGTTGACCTGGAAGCTGTTTTCTGGTGGCGGTAACATCTGGTGGTAGAGGGTCGGCGATTTACATGCTATGTCGTCCGACCGGCTGACTGTGTTTCCCGCGGATCGTGTCAGTATTAAGCCTCCCAGATACTTACCGACCGAAGGTCGATCCGCTTTCCATGTGACAGCTCTATCGAACTTCCTACTCTTACCCAGCCTTCCACACGCCGGGGACCACTCCTCGAGCACTCACCCGTTGGATGTCCGTAAGGCAGCTCAAAGTCTATATCAAGCGAGCGCGGGGGATCCGTGCGGGTACCCAGCTGTTCTGTTATTCTGACGGTGGCGGGAAGGCTGGTCTGCCCAGCGAGCAAGCAGACTTTGTCAAGCTGGCTAGTCTGGAAATGTATTTGTGCGGCTTATCAGGCTAAGGGCAAGCCTCCCCTGAGGGGTTGAAGGCTCACTTTCGGTCAGGGCAGTAGCGCCTCAAAAGCTTTGCATCGGCACTCCCCATTGAAGAGATCTGCTCCGCCCGCTATTTGGAGCCGGTAAACGCGTTTATCACGGCATTATCAGCTCGATCGCATTCCGTGTCGTCGCGAGCTTTGGCCGTACTGTTCTCTCCAGTGGACAGTGTCCTGCCACCCTGACGAGTGAGTCTTGGTTTATTGGTTTGTTTTGGGCTACTGTACAATAATTCCATTATTGACATGTCTGCTACTGTGAGCTCACTCAGAGAACCTGTACCCCCTTCGATTCTCTCACGGAGTTACTATATCGTTAGTGAGTGGTATTTTGCATTCCCCTCACGATTGCTCTCATGTAGCCACTTAGTGGGTGGGGATTCATTGACATTAAGCACTCGTGCAATGTCTCATTATGCTAGAGAGGTAGTCTTTGAGCACAATTCCTCCCTGTCAGTTCCCCTCCCATAATGCCTCTCGGCGAGGCGAAACTGGGACAAGTGACAGGTGAGTGTTATGGCGTCTGTTCAATTTTTTCCATGATCACGATCGCTATATTTGTGTGTGCTTGGACAGAATTCCCTCCTCCCTGGCCTCCGGTCTTTGGGAGTCTGTGTTTATGCATAATATGTACCCCAAGGGCGATCTCTCTGAAAAGAATTAACCAAACCTGCAGAGGTTTTCAATTCTTTGAAGAGAGTAGATCCTTGGGGTAGAAACCTCCGCCTCCCGCAATTCTGTTCACTGATAAGAATTCAGCAGAAGGAATGATGATCACGGGTCTAGGAGCCTACCCAGTTGAGTGCGCATCGCTAAGGAGAGGTAACTCCGTGAGGTAGGAGTCCATTATAATAAAAATAAAGAGTTTATTTATTGTTCAATCTTTTTATTCAAAAACATTGATACAACTGTCACAGGACATTTTCAGCCGGAAAATGCATAATATGTACCCCAAGGGCGACTCTCTTCAAAGAATTGAAAACCTCTGCAGGTTTGGTTAACAGCAACCAATGCTTGTTGTGAGAGATGACTAATGGGATCGGGTGGTCAGGCTCACTGACTTGGTTGACACATGTCATTGTTTCCCTATTGCATAAACTGATGCTCATGATGTCGACCACTAGATTGTATTGTCCACCATGTTAATTATTCAGAAACCAATGTCATATAGCGGGAATATTTTGGAGTGTATCATCAAACAACAAACAAAGAAACACAAAAAACAAATCATTACACATGTGCTCTTTATGAATTAATATTAACTCAGACAGACAGACTGACAGATTGTTTTATTTCCATATATATGGCCTGCTTTACAGTACATTTCCACCTGCTTTTATTTGATGCTTGTACAGAGCTCCAGATAAGATTTAGCTCATGTGGGTACTGTACCCACGGTATATTTTTGGAGTGGGTATTATGAATGTTGAGTGGGTATTTCATTTTCTGTTACCCACTGCTTTCAAATATGTGCGTACTTCAGTCAATTTACTCACCTAGGTATTATTTCATTGAGTAAGTTTACTATGCAGGTATGTTCTGCCTTATGTCATACCTAATCAAAACCAACTTAAATATAATGGAAATGATTTAATAAAAAATCACTCATCCTATACTGACAGTACAACACTTGTCCTATACTTACAGTACAACTTGATAGCAATGGATGTCTTTTTCATTCACATGGCGATTTTTATAAATATATTCGATGCGCATTTGTTTTAAACTTTTTGGGTATTTAACATTTTAAATCTTAATTGAGTGCATAACAATTATTTTCAATCGCGTGTGGTGGAAATTTTATATGCATATTTTACCCGGATACGCAGCTTATCTGGGCCTCTGCTTGTAAACCATTAACAGTCATACAGTATTGCCAGAGGGTTTGTAAAATATCAACATTTTTGCATAATGTATAGGCATAGAATCCTTCTAAAATAACATATCACATGTGTTGAACATACTGATAATTATGTAGAGTGTACGAGGAAGAGGGCTTGGTTCTGGTTGAATTACATTAGTCCCTTACCATTACCGCTTGTTTGATATCGTGAGGTACAGCTTTACATGTTTGACTGATTGTTCCAGAGCTTGAAGGATCAGCTGGCTGAATGTGAGACGGAGAGGTCAGAAGCTTTTGCTGCCTACAATTCAGTACAACAGGCACAGGAACAGTCGGCCAGCACGATCGAGGTGAACGTCTGACGGATCTAGCAGTTTTACATATAAGAAATCCTTATTGACAGAAATTCAGTCCCAGAAATAATGTTATCCTATTTTAAAAGATATATCTACAAATGAATAAATAAACTTAAAGTAGGTAAGTTACCATGTGACATTATTGTGGATTACCTCGATATACGATTTGTACACGTGACTGTTGCGGTTAGGCATCTGACGTTGTGTGCTGGCAATTAGGTGCCTGACTCTGAGGGTGTGGGTTCGAATCCAGGATGGGACTCAACCCCCAAAAAGTACTAGAATTTGTACTTCACTAAGAAAGTGTAAATCCATATATAACATATGTTGAATTTGACCACTTTCTAAATGGCATTGTGTAATCATGTTGAAGAGTAGTTGTCATGCCTGTATTATTCGTCAGGATCTCAAGACACAGCTGACAACTATGAAAGGGGAGAAGGAGCAGATTTGTGCCAAATTTGTGGCTTTTGAGAAAAAAACAAGGTGAGAAGGATAGACCTTCAAGGAGTTTACAAATTCATATAGACAACAAAGAAGGCTTCTGGACTATATCTGCAGTAGATCAAGTCCTTGTTGGCTTTTAATCAGTGCTTCATGATCTCCACAACCTATCAACAAGAATCACCACATTTCCTGCCAATTTATTAATGACACTACACAGTGGTTTAATCTGCTTCAGAGATTGGTTTGATCCTCATGCCAAACATGTAAAAAGATGGTACTTGTTGATACCCTGCCTGTTGCTGATAAAACAAGGAATGGCTGGCTTAGAGTCAGTACACTGTGTCTGTGTGGGGTATCTGTGCAGCTTGATATCTCAGTGGGTTACCACTTTGAGCTAGAATGGAATGATAGTAACAGCCAACACACATGTATGAGTGGAATGTCGGTGGTTTGATCTCCTAAGGTTCTTAACGCTTATGACTATTTAAGTGAAATAATCCTGGTAAAACCCAATTACACCTCAACCTGCTGTCCGTCACCTCACCTCATCTGACCCGATCCCACTTTACCTCACATTACTTTGCCTCACCCAAATCCACCTCACCCCTCAATATACCTCTGCCTCACCTCATCCCCAGCCTCACCTCACCTCATCCCCAACCTCACCTCACCTCACCTCACCCAACCCACCTCACCCCTCAAAACACCTCACCCTACCCCCACTTATCACCTCACCCCATTATCATCCCATACCCAACCGCACCTCACCTCATCCCCAACCTCACCTCACCTCACCTCATCCCAACCTCACCTCACCTCACCTCATCCCCAACCTCACCTCACCTCATCCCCAACCTCACCTTACCTCATCCCCAACCTCACCTCTTCTCATCCCCAACCTCACCTCACTTCACCTCATCTCCAACCTCACTTCACCTCATCCCCAACCTCACCTCACTTCACCTCATCCCCAACCTCACCTCACCTCAGCCCCAACCTCACTTCACCTCATCCCCAACCTCACCTCAACTCATCCTCAGCCTCACCTCATCCCCAACCTCACTTCACCTCATCCCCAACCTCACCTCACCTCATCCCCAACCTCACCTCTCACCTTCACCTCATCCCCACCTCACCTCATCTCACTTCACCTCATCCCCACCTCACCTCACTTCACATCATCCCCAACCTCACCTCACCCCATCCCCAACCTCACCTCACCTAATCCCAACCTCACCTCACCTAATCCCAACCTCACCTCACCCAACCTCACCTCACCTAATTCCAACCTCACTTCACCCAACCTCACATCACCTCACCCACCCTCACTTCACCCCATCCCCAACCTCACCTCACCCAACCTCACCTCACCTAATCCCAACCTCACTACACCCCATCCCAAACCTCACCTCACCTCACCCAACCTCACCTCACCCCTGAAAATACCTCACCCTACCCCACTTGTCACCTCACCCCAACATCATCCCATACCCAACTTCACCTCACCTCATCCCCAACCTCACCTCACCCAACCCCACCTCACCCAACCCCTACTTATCACCTCACCCAACATCTTCCCATCCCCAACTTCACCTCACCCTCAGAACACCTCACCCAATTCATCCCCACCTCACCTCACCTCCCCTCAAAACACCTCGCCTTACCCCCACTTATCACCTCACCCCAACTTCATCCCATACCCAACTTCACCTCACCCCTCAAAACACCTTACCCTACTCCCATTTCACCCCAACCTCACCCCATTCCCAACTTCACCTCACCCCTTCTCCAAACTCACCTCACCTTACCCCATTAGGATCATGGAAAATGTTTGTATTTATAATTGTTAATATAGAAACTGTGGAGCCTAGTCCTACTCAGATCTTGTAAAATGAACCACACTTGGACTTTGATGTGCTCGGTTCTGTGCAGGATCTGATGGAGCAGATGGAGTGTATGCAGATGAAGGACTCGACGTTGACCTCCACCCTGAAGTGTATGCAGGAAGAGCAGACGAAGTTTGCAAATGACAATAAGGTGAGCATTCCTCCACAGGATCCATGTTTGAAATTAGATATTCTGCTTGTGTGAAAATAGGTTAAATTGTAGCACAGCCTAGCACAACAGTCAAAATTGGGGAGTCAAACATTAGACAACATAACAACTGGGACATAGGAAATAGTCTTGACTCATTATACCCATCAGGGGAATCAAATCCGTGTCTTACCAGTTTGTTTGTAATCTGTGATAAATCCCTGGAAATATGAGTGTATAACACCTATTCAATTGTGTATTCAGGACCTTGCAGGACAGGTAGCCCGACTGACCGAGGAGCGTGATGACCTAGTACGTCAGATCGAAAACCTGAGTAGTGCTGACCAGCAGAGACAACAGCAGGGAGAGAAGAATGACATGGAGGTAATCATCTTTAACCTTTTCGATCTGATCTCTTTCTTTCTGAAATTGCCCCGACAAACGGCTTTTCAAGAACACCTGTAAGCACATAAAGCACACTTTCCGTTATTCTCACTGATCATTATGTTTCTTAAATCTGAATAGCTTGTTCACGCCAATCATTCAGTTGTTTTCTTCAATTTTTTCATTGCAATGTGTTTTCAATCATTATTGATGCTGTCGTCCATTACTTGTCTTGATTTGTGATCAGGAAACTCACATTGTTCCACATTACTCAGGCTATAAAGGAAAGAATATGTATTATGTAGAATAATCTACTGGCAACTCTGACTTATAGATACAGTGACTAAGTGTATCGTTACCGTTCTATGTATCAGCTGGGATTGTGGGAAAACAACATGTATCATGGTGACAATATGTATCGTTACAGTTCTATGTATCAGCTGGGATGGTGACAATATGTATCGTTACCGTTCTATGTATCAGCTGGGATTGTGGGAAAACAACATGTATCATGGTGACAATATGTATCGTTACCGTTCTATGTATCAGCTGGGATTGTGGGAAAACAACATGTATCATGGTGACAATATGTATCGTTACTGTTCTATGTATCAGCTGGGATTGTGGGAAAACAACATGTATCATGGTGACAATATGTATCGTTACCGTTCTATGTATCAGCTGGGATTGTGGGAAAACAACATGTATCATGGTGACAAAATGTATCGTTACTGTTCTATGTATCAGCTGGGATTGTGGGAAAACAACATGTATCATGGTGACAATATGTATCGTTACCGTTCTATGTATCAGCTGGGATTGTGGGAAAACAACATGTATCATGGTGACAATATGTATCATGGTGACAATATTACCGTTTCTATGTATCAGTTGGGATTGTGGGAAAACAACATGTATCATGGTGACAATATGTATCGTTACCGTTCTATGTATCAGCTGGGATTGTGGGAAAACAACATGTATCATGGTGACAATATGTATCGTTACCGTTCTATGTATCAGCTGGGATTGTGGGAAAACAACATGTATCATGGTGACAATATGTATCGTTACCGTTCTATGTATCAGCTGGGATTGTGGGAAAACAACATGTATCATGGTGACAATATGTATCGTTACCGTTCTATGTATCAGCTGGGATTGTGGGACAAAACAACGTTCTATGTATCATGGTGACAATATGTATCGTTATCCGTTCTATGTATCAGCTGGGATTGTGGGAAAACAACATGTATCATGGTGACAATATGTATCGTTATCGTTCTATGTATCAGCTGGGATTGTGGGAAAACAACATGTATCATGGTGACAATATGTATCGTTACCGTTTTATGTATCAGCTGGGACTGTGGGGAAAATACAATATGTCGCGTTAAGAAGCTCTATGTATCAGCTGGGATTACAACGTATCTATGTATCAGCTGGGATTGTGGGAAAACAACATGTATCATGGTGACAATATGTATTGTTACTGTTCTATGTATCAGCTGGGATTGTGGGAAAACAACATGTATCATGGTGACAATATGTATCGTTACCATTCTATGTTTCAGCTGGGATTGTGGGAAAACAACATGTATCATGGTGACAATATGTATCATTAGAGGTTTATGTATCAGCTGGGATGGTGGGAAAACAACATGTATCATGGTGACAATATGTATCGTTACCATTCTATGTATCAGCTGGGATTGTGGGAAAACAACATGTATCATGGGAAAACAACATGTATCATGGTGACAATATGTATCATTAGAGGTCTATGTATCAGCTGGGATTGTGGGAAAACAACATGTATCATGGTGACAATATGTATCGTTACCGTTCTATGTATCAGCTGGGATTGTGGGAAAACAACATGTATCATGGTGACAATATGTATCGTTACGTTCTATGTATCAGCTGGGATTGTGGGAAAACATTCATGTTTTAGGGTAGCAAAACATGCCATTAAGATCAGTGTTGTCTAACTGTTTCAGAAGCTGATCCAGCTGAACGAGCTGAGGGAGGAACTCTCTACCCTACAGAAGGCAAATGAAAAGTTTGAGGAGGAGAGGCAGTTCTGGGAGAAGGAAAAGGCGGAGTTGATGCAGAACCTCACACAGCAGGAGGCAGAGCAGACGGGGAAGTCGGAGCTGACACAGAAGCTGCAGCAGCAACTGGAAGCAGCTGAGGGGGATCTGGAGCAACTCAGGAGGGATGTTGCTGGGAAAGATGAAGAGATCGCAGCCATTCATAAATCTCTTGAAGCCAAGGATGCTGAAATTGAACAAATAAAGGTGGAGTTTCAGAAATGTGAGGATGTCAGCGACAAAACTAAAGGTGCTGAGCAGGAGAAGGATGCAAGGATTGATGAACTCAGTCAACAGATTGACTCTCAAAAGTCTGAAATTGAAGGCTATAGAAACAGGCTAGAAGCAGCTGAAGGTGAAGTGGCGAGTCTGTCTGAGAAACTGAAAGAAAGTAATTCCATGTTTGAGGATTTGGAAACTGAAAAAGTGAAATTGAATGAAGAAGCTCAGAGGTTGAATTCTAGGATAACAGAATTGGAAGAGGGAGGTAAAGAATATGAACTGACTGTTGAGAAATTAAGAAAAAGATGTAATGAGTTGGAGGGAAGTGTTGCATCCAGTTCAGAAGATGCCCAGAACGTTGTTGATGAGAAAGTTGTCCGCTTGGAGGGAAGGTTCAGGCTCTGTTAGAGCAGAAGGAGAAACTGTGTGCGGAACTGGCTCAAGCTAATGAAATCAAGGACACGCTGAACTTCGAGGTGCAAGAGTTGAGGGCTGAGGTGGAGTCCGGGAACTCTGATCCAGACTCCCAGAAGGGTCAGATTCAGGAGTGGGAGAGTCTGATGGAGATGTTGAAGAACGATAAAGATCAGGCACTTCAGGAACTGGAAGATTCCGAGAAAAGGGAGGAACTGTGTCGTAAGGAGTTGGAGTTCCTGATGACATCTCTGCATGAGGCTTTGACGGAGCGGGACACACTTCAAGACGAGGTGTTCAAGATGGCAGAGAATCCTTTGATGGATGAGATTAAGGAGATGAAGGTGATGATAGAGGACATCATCAACGAACGTAACAACCTTCAGAAGAAATGGGATGAAGCCAAAGCAACCAAGAAAGAATATGATGCTGCTATGGAAACTTTGAAGAAACAGATAGAAGAAGAAAAGCAGGAGAAAGAAAACATTGAAAGAGAGAAAGAATCAGGAGCTGTAGTCATGGAACTGTCACAAGAGAGAGAGAGACAGCTGAGGGAAGAATTAACAGAGAAGGACACTTTGGTAGTAGAATATGAAGAGAAGCTGAATCAAGAGATTGCCAAGGCAACAGGGGCTGAATCAAGAGTCAGAGAACTGGAAGAGGAAGTAGCTGGGTTGAGCACAGGTGCAGCTGAAAAGGAGGAGCAGATAAAAGAGAGACAAAATTATGCAGTAGAGTTAGAAGGTCAGATTCTGGACATGTCCAACTCTTTATCTGACAGTAAGACCAGGTATGGAGTACTGAAGGAACAGTTTGACAAGCTGACTGAGAACAGTTCTGACATCGCTACTTACTGTGAACAGATTGAAGAGCTGGGTTCTCAGAGAGATGAGGTAGCCCGTCAACGGGACATGCTTCAGACACAACTTGAACAGCTGAAGACAGAGAAGATGGACCTTGAAGGAAAGGTTGACACTCTTGGACATGATCTTCAGGCTGTTGTTGAAGAGAAAATGAAAGCTGTTGAAGAACTTGAACATGTCAAAGAGGAACTGGGTAAGGTGACTGAACAAAATGATGAAAGTCAAAGAGAAAAGGAGGCAATGAAATCGACATGTGAAGAACTGAAAACTAAGGTTTCTGATTTGGAAAATGAGAAGGTTGATTTGGAGCGTAAATTGGAGGGAAAGGATTCTGAGATGAAATGTCTGCAAGAGAGGTGTGATGACCTGGTACAAGTTCAGGAAGGCAAAGAGACAGAAATTGAAACAATGAAGACTGAGGCGAGTGAGAGACAACAGGCGACCTCTGAGGCTGATGTTGCACAGGTGGAGGAAATGGAGTTGCTCAAGGCGGAGAAGTCCGACCTGCAGGTTCAGTTTCTGATGACTCAGGAGAAACTGGCTGAGACAGAGAAAGAGATTGCATCATTGCAGAGTGAAATTCAAGCATTGAAACAAGCTGGTGGAGCGGCTTCAGTGGAAAGGGAAAAGGTTGATGCAAGGGTTAAGGAACTTGAGGAGCAAGGTGTCTTACTTCAGGAGAAACTGTCTGAGTCAGCTAAAGAAGTCACAGGTTTGCAGGGTGAGTTGGAGACGCTGAGAGCAGAAGTATCAGATCAGAAATACACTGATGGTGAGAGGGTGAAGGAACTTCAGGACAAGTTGGTGGAACTTCAAGAAGAGAAGGAAGCTGTGAGTAATACAAGTTCCAGAGATCAGGAAGAAATACAAGCTCGGGTTAATGAACTTGATGAAAGATTGTCTCAGGTGCAGGAAGAAAAGGAGACATTGAACAATAAATGTGAACAGCTGGAGGTTTCTCAGAAGCAAAAGAACTCTGAACTTGAGACTTTGAGAAGTGATCTAAGTGTCAAGAGTGATCGGGTTGTAGAGTTGGAGAGGATGTTGGATGAAAATGTGAAACTTGTTTCTGAGTTGAAGGACCAGATGTCAGGGGAACAATCAGCAGAAGCTGAGACTAAAGCTGAGTTTGCTTCATTGAATCAAAGGTTGGAAAATATGACAGTTGAATTGGATGATTTGAGAAAGGCAAATTCAAATTTGAGTGAAAATCTTAAACAAGTGTGTGATGAAAAGGAAAGCTTGTTGTCGGAATTGTCTACCCTTCAGTGTGATTTGGAAAATGTTAAAGATCAGAAAGAATCCTTGAATATTTCCTTGAAAGAAAGAGCAGAAATAGTGACAGCAGCGGAACAGAACAGTGCTGACCTGAATGAGTGTTTGAGTGAAAAAGTTTCATCAATGGAGGTTTTGGAACAGGAATTAGCTTCATTGAAGGCATCACATGAGTTGGTTTTATCTGACAAAAACAGACTTGACTCTGACCTTGAAAATTTTAAAACTCAAAAAGAAAACCTTGAAACTGAATTACATTCAGTGAGGTCAGAGTTTGTGACTTTGAAAGAAGAAAAGAATGTGCTTAATAGTGACCTTTCTTCTAAACTTGAACTGATGGTAGAACTAGAATCTAAGTGTGAAAAGCTTGAAAAAGAGATAGCTGAGAAAGACAGAGCATTTGAAGCAGTAACCTCTGATTCACAAGCTAAATCATCAGAGGAGATTATGAGACTACAGAGAGAAAAGGAGTCGGTTGAGACTTCTTTGATGGAGACAGGTGATAAGCTGTCGGATGTCCAGAAGTCCCTTGTGTTGAAGGAGGAGGAGGTGTCTACCGGCAAGTCTGTGGTGGAGGAACTGTCCCGGAAGTTGGAGGAGGTTCAGGGGCAGGCTGACGACCAGTTGCGGAACATGAAGGAGAGAGTCACTGAACTTGAAAGCAATCTTCAAGAATTAAAGGAAAGGAACTCCAGCCTACAGGTTCAGGTTCAAGAAACTACAGTCAAGGAAACTGCAGCTTTGCAACAGAGCAGTGTAAGTATGACAAAAGACAGCTGAGACATTAAGATGTATAACTGACTCATTTGGCTTTGGAAACCTGGCATTTGTTTTACTTTCCCAAATTAATTAAACCTGAGTGATTGACTATTTGAATAACACCTGACAGACCCCTGACTCACTTCTGACTGAAAACCCTACTCACAACTGCTCGAATCACTCCTGACTCTCATCTGATTAATCCTTGACTCACCTTTGATTGACCTGACTGACCCCTTAGTCACACCTGATTCATAGCACACTGACCCCTGACTGATCCTTGACTCACACCTGACCTGCCCCTGACTGATCCATGACTCACACCTGACTGAGCCCTGACTGATTCTTGACTCACACCTGACCTGCCCCTAACTGATCCTTGACTCACACCTGACCAGCCCCTGACTTATCCTTGACTCGCACCTGACTAGCCCCTGACTTATCCTTGACTCAAACCTGTCTAGCCCCTGACTTATCCTTGACTCACACCTGTCTAGCCCCTGACTGATCCTTGACTCACACCTGACCAGCCCCTGACTTATCCTTGACTCACACCCGACCAGCCCCTGACTTATCCTTGACTCACACCTGACCAGCCCCTAACTGATCCTTGACTCACACCTGACCAGCCCCTGACTTATCCTTGACTCACACCTGACCAGCCCCTAACTGATCCTTGACTCACACCTGACCAGCCCCTGACTTATCCTTGACTCACACCTGACCAGCCCCTGACTTATGCTTGACTCACACCTGACCAGCCCCTAACTGATCCTTGACTCACACCTGACCAGCCCCTGACTTATCCTTGACTCACACCTGACCAGCCCCTAACTCATCCTTGACTCACACCTGTCCAGCTCCTGACTTATCCTTGACACACACCTGACAAGCCCTCCACTGATGTTTGTTGTCTCCTGCAGAGTTCGGGTGACGAGGTCGGGCGACTGCAGGCCGAGGTGAAGACTAAGGAGGAGATGTGCAGCAAGCTGAAGCAGCTCGCCATCAAGTCCAAGAAGGAGGCCAGTGATGCCAAGTCCAAGGTACAGTACTTCAAGAGCCAAATCTTGTGATGTTAAACATAACCCCATTCTCTCACATAGTGGGTAGCTGTGGTTACCCTATCCCCACATCCATTCCTTGTTTAATAGCAGTCACAACTGAAGGTTATGGATTGCACTGTGAGAAAGGTCACCGTGTAGCCAATGTGTAGGTTTCACAGCGTATTTTTGGCTACAAATCATAAAATGTTTTCATGATGCCTAAACCTTTCTCCTCCTTATCTAACTTCTTCGGATTATGTATACAGAGTTTGTTGAAAGGGAGCTTTAAGTGAGAATTAAACATGGGTGGTGCTTCTGTTGTGATCGACATCCTTTTTTCAGGCTCTTGTTTTTATCTGGCCTTGAAGTATGACCCACTACAGGCTCTAATGGCCTTGAAGCATGACCCACAATCGAATATTATGTCAGACTGATGGTCTGTGAGCCTTGTATTTTATCACAGTAGGCTCTAATGGCCTTGAAGCATGACCCACAAAAGGGTCTAACAGCCTTGAAGCATGACCCACAATCGAATATTATGTCAGACTGATGGTCTGTGAGCCTTGTATTTTATCACAGTAGGCTCTAATGGCCTTGAAGCATAACCCACAATAGGGTCTAATGGACTTGAAGCATGACCCACTATAGGATCTAATGGCCTTGAAGCATGACCCACAGTAGGGTCTAATGGCCTTGAAGCATGACCCACAATAGGGTCTAATGGCCTTGAAGCATGACCCTCAATAGGGTTTAATGACCTTGTAGCTTCACCCACTATAGGATCTAATGGCCTTGTAGCTTCATCCACTATAGGATCTAATGGGCTTGTAGCTTCACCCACTATAGGATCTATTGACCTTATAGCTTCATCCACTATAGGATCTAATGGCCTTGTTGCTTCATCCACTATAGGATCTAATGGGCTTGTAGCTTCGTCCACTATAGGATCTAATGGCCTTGTACCTTCACCCACTATAGGATCTATTGACCTTGTAGCTTCATCCACTATAGGATCTAATGGCCTTGTAGCTTCATCCACTATAGGATCTAATGGGCTTGTACCTTCACCCACTATAGGATCTATTGACCTTATAGCTTCATCCACTATAGGATCTAATGACCTTGTAGCTTCATCCACTATAGGATCTAATGGCTTTGTAGCTTCACCCACTATAGGATCTAATGGCCTTGTAGCTTCATCCACTATAGGATCTAATGGCTTTGTAGCTTCATCCACTATAGGATCTAATGGCCTTGTAGCTTCATCCACTATAGGATCTAATGGGCTTGTAGCTTCACCCACTATAGGATCTATTGACCTTGTAGCTTCATCCACTTTAGGATCTAATGGCCTTGTAGCTTCATCCACTATAGGATCTAATGGGCTTGTAGCTTCGTCCACTATAGGATCTAATGGCCTTGTACCTTCACCCACTATAGGATCTATTGACCTTGTACCTTCACCCACTATAGGATCTAATGGGCTTGTAGCTTCATCCACTATAGGATCTATTGACCTTGTAGCTTCATCCACTATAGGATCTAATGACCTTGTAGCTTCATCCACTATAGGATCTAATGGGCTTGTAGCTTCGTCCACTATAGGATCTAATGGCTTTGTACCTTCACCCACTATAGGATCTATTGACCTTGTAGCTTCACCCACTATAGGATCTAATGGGCTTGTAGCTTCATCCACTATAGGATCTAATGGCTTTGTAGCTTCACCCACTATAGGATCTATTGACCTTGTAGCTTCATCCACTATAGGATCTAATGGCCTTGTAGCTTCATCCACTATAGGATCTAATGGGCTTGTAGCTTCGTCCACTATAGGATCTAATGGCTTTGTACCTTCACCCACTATAGGATCTATTGACCTTGTAGCTTCACCCACTATAGGATCTAATGGGCTTGTAGCTTCATCCACTATAGGATCTAATGGGCTTGTAGCTTCGTCCACTATAGGATCTAATGGCTTTGTACCTTCACCCACTATAGGATCTATTGACCTTGTAGCTTCATCCACTATAGGATCTAATGGGCTTGTAGCTTCATCCACTATAGGATCTATTGACCTTGTAGCTTCATCCACTATAGGATCTAATGGGCTTGTAGCTTCACCCACTATAGGATCTAATGACCTTGTAGCTTCATCCACTATAGGATCTAATGGCCTTGTAGCTTCATCCACTATAGGATCTAATGGCTTTGTAGCTTCACCCACTATAGGATCTAATGGCCTTGAAGAATGACCCCCTATAGAATATTATGTCAGACTGACAGTCTGTGGGCCTTGTATGTTGGCACGATAGGGTCTAATGGCCTTGAAGCACAATAAAGTCAATTGGCCTATTGTGGCATCACACTAAGGTCTTTTGGCCTTTGGGTTGCACTACCAAACTGTTGCTGGTTGCAAACATTTGTAAAAAATGTTGTTCTGTTGTTTTCAGCTTGATAATGTAACAAAGCAGCTTGAGTTAACAAAGAAGTCCTTGGCAGAAACAGAAGAGAAGTTGCAGAATGTCCAGACTGAGAGCACTAGCTCCTCCGAGCACGTCCTGGCCGAGTCCAAGCAGGTTCAGGACAACTATAAGGTCAGTTGTGTTGTCTGGACTGAGAGCTCAACATCTTCAGACTCAGCTGTCTGAGTCCAAGCAGGTTCAGGAGAACTATATGGTCAGTTGTGTTGTCTGGACTGAGAGCTCAACATCTTCAGACTCAGCTGTCTGAGTCCAAGCAGGTTCAGGAAAACTAAATTGATTTGCATGGTTGCACTCAGCAATAGTCCAGCTGTATGGCAGCGGTCTGTAAATTATTGAGTCTGGATCAGAAAATCCAGAGATTCACATCTTCAACATTGATGAAAGCTCTTGGGATCAGATGATGTGTCAACCAAATTTGACCACCCAATCCTGTTAATCCGCTCTAACAGCAAGCATGGGTTGCTGAAGACAAATTCTAACCTGGATCTTCATGAATTGGTCTCTATTGTGCCTAGTAGGTTAACAGCAACACATCATCACCTTAACTAAGATTGCTAAAATAGCTGATGAAGCGGGTGAGATACAAAGTCTCCACAGACTTCAAAAATGACTGAGTGATTATAATTGAACACTGCTGTCAGCAATATGCCAGCAGTATGACGGCATGGTACACCAGAATGGGCTTACCGACTATACCAGTTGTACCCGAGACTTTACCCAGAAGGCTCCTTCAAATTTAAATTTGGGGCAGTCGGGTAGCCTAGTGCTTAAAGCATTCGACGCCAAGCACAGTATGTGAAGCACATTTCTGGTGTATCCTAATTTGATGTTGCTGGAATATTGCTAAAGCGGTGTAAACCATTCTCATTCGCTTGCTCCCTCGATCGCTTGATCACTCACTCACTCACTCACTAAATGGCACTGTATTCATACTTAGTCATTCTCCTAATGCTTTCTGTTTTCCCTAGAGCCTTCAGGCAGACTTTGACCGTCTCCAGGACCAGCTTGACCAGGAGAAACAGCGGTCAACCCAGGCCAAGACAGACCTCCAACAGGCCGTGGAGCAACTGACCACTCTCAAGCAGGAGCTGGCCGACACCAAGGAGGAGAAGGACAGACTCAACAGACATATCGAGTCGGCATCCACAGATGTCAAGGTCAGTAGAGTATTGAACAGCAAATCCTCCCGTTACATGACCTTGAATTTAAAAGTATCAAAACACAGTCCGATTTTAGGCTACAATTATTGTAACTTTCTCACTTTCAGCCTAGATTTACAACTGTTGTACATGTTATTAGCATCCATTGTAACAGAGTATAAACCAGCTGTACATGATCTACACATGGAGCTATCTGCAGGAAGTGTTCATTCCTAAAGACTATCAACAGAACCTGCTTAACTCAGAATGAATTTTCAAAGAAGTTGTGAAGATTGAGTTAATTGTTTGTTGGCTGACACCATCATCTCCCTTTTCAGACTCGTGAGGCTGGTCTTGAGGAGCAGAAGGCCAAGATGAAGGCCATGGAGAGTGAGACGTCTGCTTTGCGAATACAGCTGGAAGAGGTTGTCAAGGACAAACAGAAGGTCAGTCAATACTGGGTGTGGATCCGTTGATGCTGTGTTTGAGTCCAAAATCGATTGTGGCTTCCACCTTCTTCAAGCTGATCGCAGGAATATATCTGAAACCAAATTAACCTGTCATAACAACATTTTTCAGTTTCGTATTTCGTTTCTTGCTTCTTGCATATTGATCAAGAATATCCATTGTCCGGGTACACATTCCTCTGAGCATTGTTAGTGGTAGGGTGATTGTAACTCCCATACTTTAACATAGATAATGCCCAATTGCGTAGATCAATGCTCATTGCTGTTGATCCATGGATTGTCTGGTCCAGATTCGATTATTTACAGACTGCCACCACATAGCTGGAATATTGCTGAGTGTGGCATAAAACTCAACTCACTCACTCACTCACTACCCGTGAAGGTCCGGCTTAGAATATTGGCCTTCAGTGACCCATGCTTGCCGTAAGAGGCGACTAACGGTATCGGGTGGTCAGGCTCGCTGACTTGGTTGACACATGTCATCGGTTCCCAATTACGCAGATCGATGTTCATGCTGTTGATCACTGGATTGTCTGGTCCAGGCTTGATTATGTACAGACCGCCGCCATATAGCTGGAATATTGCTGAGTTTCAGCGTAAAACTAAACTCACTCACTCACTCACTCACATAGATAATGATGGTCACTTTGTGGAATAGGTCTCTTGTTTTAAGAACTGTAAATGTGAGTTTGTTCTGTGACATCCCGAGTGGTGATTGTCTCCAGGCCGACGAGGACCACCAGGAGAAGGAGAAGCAGCTGAAGGCAGACATAGAACAGCAGAAGAAGATGGTGGGGAAGAAGGAGGAAGAAATCAAGAGACTGCAGGAGCAGCTCGGCACAGCTAAACAGGTGAGAGTAGGGAGAAGAAGAGGGGGAGAAGGGTGAAACTGACAGGAATAGAGGGGGAGGAAGATGAGAGGTGAGATTGGCAGAACACTGTGAGGTTGAGAGGGGATTTAAGGTTTGAAGAAGAAGAGGTGGGAGGTTGATGAAGGTGAGATTATGAGGGCGAGAGAGGCGGTGAGGTTGAAAGTAAGGATGTGGTTGAAAGGGGAGAGGCACAGAAGAGAAAGACGGAGGAGGATGAGAGGTGAGGACAAGAGAAGACTATTTGGAGTGTATGCTAAGAGTGAGAAAAGATGAGCAGAAAGGTGGTGAGGATAAGAGGTGAGGACAAGAGAAGACTATTTGGAGTGTATGCTAAGAGTGAGAAAAGATGAGCAGAAAGGTGGTGAGGATAAGAGGTGAGGACAAGAGAAGACTGTATTTGGAGTGTATGCTAAGAGTGAGAAAAGATGAGCAGAAAGGTGGTGAGGATGAGAGGTGATTTGGAAGAAGATGAGGACGGTTAGAATGAGAGATGAGATCTGGGGAGGAGAAAAGAAAAGAGGAATGTGAGAGCTGAGGATATGAGAAGAGGTCAAAATTGATAGAGTAATTAGAGAGGTGGTGGTGATGGGGTTCGAAGAGTGAGGTTTCAGAGGAGGTTGACGTATGAAAGGAGGGAAAAGTGTGCAGGGCGAGGGCTAGAGATGGATTGAAAGAGAGGCGAGCTTGGGGTGAAGCATCATAGAAATCTTTGAAGAACGTATGATGTGAGGCTCCATATGATGGTTGAGTTAATGGAAACTGAAAATACTGACAAAGAATTAAATATGCGAAGTGAGTCGGTTTGTGTTCCTGGGTGATATCTCGTTGTTTCTGCACATGTCAGGAAGCCAGCCAGAGCAACATGATGGACCTTGAGATGGCAGACTACGAGCGGACGATCCGCACTCTCAACGACCAGCTGAAGGAGAAAGACTCCTCCATGGAGAAGATGAAGTCAGAGGTGGAACAGATGGAACAGAATTCAGCCCGACTCAAGGAACAGATGGGTTAGTGCTTGTTGATCTCTGTTGGGAGAATAGTGTTAGCTGTACACCCACCTATGTCAACTTTCAAGTTGTGACGAGTATGACTGTAACGTAATACTTGTGTGGATCAGGGTAGAGATTTGAGTAGGGTTTCTTAGAAGCCGTCACGGTATCTGCGAGTTTTTTCATTCAAAACGTTATTCTAATTACATGTATTATGGTTCCAATTTATTGGGTGGTTTTCACATGTATTTGACTAATAAACATGATGAAAGGGTCAGATGAAATGAAGATGGCTCTTCTACACAATTTCATCAAATGCAAATTCACTGCATTTTGTGGAAATATGATCTGTGATGCTGCTATGATATAACTGGAATGTGACTGATAAAATGTTAGCAATAATAGCAAAGATAGAAGAACAACGAAAATGAATATTGATAATCAACAATATTTGACCTGAGTCACTGCTTTCAACTTCTGGTGCCTGGTCAGGCTCTGATTTCTGGAAACAAACTTAAGTTTTTACTCAAATTTCAAACTGAGTTTGTCAATTAGAAACAGCTGAATTTTTAACTCAAGTGTATTTGTAAAATAAAAAGCCCAAAGAACTTAAGTAATCTATCCACAAACTCAAATTGTTTACTATGTTTGAGTTTAATATCGATTTCAGTTTATTCTGGGAAATGCATTTTCCTGCATTGTCTCAAATTTGAGTAAAAACTCAAAACAAAACAAAAAGGACTTAAGTTTGTTTCGAGAAATCGGGCCCAAAACTGGCTAGCACAACTGCCTTGATGTAACAGTGATTGTGATGGTAGCATAAAATAACATTCACTCACTTATGTCACCTGACAGAGAAGGTGGAGGAACTACGTCTCCAGGCCGAGGATCGAGGCAATAAACTGAAGCAGCTCCTCGTCAAGACAAAGAAGGATCTGGCTGATGCCAAGAAAGTAGTGAGTGGTCTTACAGTCGTTCTTATGACAAGCCTCTTGTGATTTTACTGGAATACTGCTAAAAGTGGCATAAAACCCTACTCACTCTTACATCAAGCACTCACATCGACAGTAACTTTTACTAAAGTCCGTTTGAGTCAGAAACGGACCAATGAATTGCAAATTTTATCATTGTACAAAATTGCCACATAAATATAGTACACATGTTTATCATTTACTAATACCCAACAGCTTTCTTATATTTGAAAATTTTCCGGACTCCACCAAATAAGTTCTTTAAGAAACTATCATTAAAATTTTGACACAGTTCACTATTTGTTACGAGGGAGGAGTGCAGAGAAAGGGACAGCCAGGTGTGCGAGAAAGGATGGAGACGGCACAGCACAGGTTAATGAATCAATAACTTGGTGGGCACTTGTGCACGTGCTTCTCTAACACCTGGCTGTCCCTTTCTCTGCACTCCTCCCTGGTAACAAATAGTGAACTGTGTCAAAATTTTAATGATAGTTTCTTAAAGAACTTATTTGGTGGAGTCCGGAAAATTTTCAAATATAAGAAAGCTGTTGGGTATTAGTAAATGATAAACATGTGTACTATTTATATTTATGTGGCAATTTTGTACAATGATAAAATTTGCAATTCATCGGTCCGTTTCTGACTCAAATGGACTGTACCTGTTTTAGGGACCGGCCATTTATTACAGGTGTGTATGGGTCAGAGGTCTTTGATACACGAATGTAGTGAAAATCACGACCTTTCCCTAAGGGCATCATTTTTTTTGTGTGTTTCACGTAGCCACCAAATTCTAACATGGGTCAGTCGGTCGGTCGGGAAAACGAAAACAAAGAAAGAAAAAACAACATCTGAATAATGTTCTTGATTCTCATTAATTGTAATTCTTATCAGAATGTCTCGCGTTCTTTGGACTTGTGGCAGTGACTGGTTTAAAGATAAACATTTTATATGACAAGGCAGTACGTTGTAGGTTTGAGTCAGCGGTGTTGGAATGAATAAAAAAGTTTGGGGGTGGGGGGTGTCAGCAATAATATTAGAAGGGTCGGTCGGGCGATGAGAAACATCAAAAATAAAAATGCTGCCCTAGTACTTGTCATATGTATAGATGGCCTTACCCTTGTCCTTGCACTTTTTGTTCATACTAATGCACATTACACTTCATTATGAAATGGCCATCAGGTCTGAACTAGACAGCATGAGCATTGTCCTACACAGCTGGGATACGATGACATGTTTCAACCAAGTCAGCGAATCTGACCACCCGATCCCGTTAGTCGCCTCTTACTACAAGCATGGGTCACTGAAGACCAATTCTAACCCTGATGTTCACGGGTATACAGGGTACATTGTCGGGTCAGACTGAATCTGGGAAGGTCACCAAAACATATGACAGTCTCTAACATACAGTCATAAAACATAATACATATAATTTTTCCTTATCCTGACTCATGCTCTTTTTGCTTGTCTTCTTCTTCTTGCGAACATAGTGGAACACTTGTATCTCCCTAATTGAAGCTCCCTTCAATTTAAAATCACTAATTAGTATTCACCACGAGTTACCTCCTTTCCACAAGCGCGGGAATGAGGGCGCCACCTCTACCCATGTGCCTCACTCTCTACTTCTTCGCCCAGTGAGCTGGACGTGAGAGCGCCTGTGTCTCCCGACACACTATATCCTTTGAATTATATTTAGTTAGTTACCTCGTATAGACATCTATAGAGGTTTAGCTAGTATCCTTCAACGATTATATATTGATATTTAGTCGTTTTTCTACAGTTTATTCACGGGACGCCGTGTTTGTTTCAGTGGATTACGTTGATGAAAATTCTGTACTATTGCAGATTACGCGTTTTTATGCTGCTGCTGATCCGCCTTTAATATGATGTACGGCCATGTTTATTATATTCACATTGCAGTTGCGGTACTAATTTATCCAATTCTACCTTTTATTAATATTTACTTTGCGTTTGGCACGCACAGCAGATAGGTCGTCATTATGCAGAGTCTAGTATGACTGATACACGGAACCCTCGCCAGTCTACTGCTGTTGGCGACTCCCCTCCCGTGTGGTGTTCCGCTAGAGTGGTGGAGAGGTGTGGGGCGTAGTCCGCCATCTCCAAGAAGCATCCTGCTTCCCCAGACATCCCATCGCCGCAGCAGAAGACTAGAGGGTTTTTCTACTACATCTCAACAACCGAGACCGTTCCCATCGAAGTTTTGGGCCTGTATGATGATCAGCCGGTCATCATACCGGATGTACATCAAAGATTGACCGATGTCGGCACAGATCAGCATGCAGCCTGATGTACCAACGCAGATATGCGATGATCGTCCTGAGGGTCCCATCATTACCAACACTCAACGCAGACGCCGCGCACCCAGGGCAGCGTCGACCTCTGAGGGAAAATCAACGAAGTCTACTAGGACTTTCTCAACCGAGATTGTTCCAGCCGATGACCTGGACCTCTACGATGATCAGCTGATCATCATCCCCGGCATGCGCCACAAGAAAGCGACCGGGGACAGCTACAACGACATCAGCAGAGATCACCATGCAGCCTGATGCCTCTACACTGATGTCGGACGATTTTCGGTGGACCCCTCCATTAACACCGCAGATAAAGCACCGGCGACCCTGCAAATTCGCAGACCATCCCAGAAGACATGATGCGACAAATTATGAACATCATGGAGGACCAATATCTGCGGTAGCAGGGTCCGAGCCTTCGCGAAGGCTCCAACGTAGACAGCACCCCAGAGGCACCCCCCGTCAACGTAGCAGCCAGGACGATGTCACCTTCGCGAAGGAAGTCACGGACCACCTTGACGAAGGACCTAGATGTACAGCCTTCGCGAAGGCGGAAAGAACCTAGATGTACAGCCTTCGCGAAGGACTTCGCGAAGGCAGGATAGATCATCACCTTATGCGGTTTCATCCCTAGATGTGGACTCGGACCATCAGACATCACGGAAGCCTTCGCGAAGGTCATATCGTCGTTCCCCCGGACCGGACGCAGAGGAAGCTTCGCGAAGGCATGCGCGAAGGACACCTGAATCCAGATCATCATCATCTAGAAGGACATCGAGGGACTATACAAGAGCTTGTGAAACTATCAACGTTCCCCTCACAAGTCTCGAGAAGATCAACCCATAGACAAGTTGATCATCGATATCAAGTATAAGAACTACAATCGTATATTGGTTCTGTTGAATCCATGACGAGAGATGTATGTTCGCTGGCCTAAATAGATCTAGAACGATCAATTAGACACTTATCACCAGACTTCGTGAATAACGACTTCTGAATATGATAAGATGATCCATGCGGCCCTACTTTTAGGCAAGCGCCACGATCCCACATCCTGTTAAACACAGAGGCTGTTCACGAAGCAAAAGCTCATATATATATTATATATATATATATATATACTAATCGGGCTTTGATTTCGACACCTTCGCGATGGTCGCGAAGGCTAAGTGGCTCCAAGTCTACTTCACCCAGAAGATCTAGAAGGGATACTTCGAGAACTTCGCGAAGTCTCCGGGCGTTCACCGAGGAAGTCTCCTCCAAGGTTTCCATATACTAGCCACTTTCGTCATATATAGCTACTCGTCAGTCCGTTTCAAGACGCCGCATAAGTTGATTATCAACTGTATGCCAGATGCCGTCTATAAGCCTACGCGAAGATAATTGCTCAGGCTATTTACAACACAGAACGCCGCTGTATTATTAGTCAACGACATTTCATAGATCTTCACAGAAATCAACTATTCATTATAAATTGCTAATATACAATCCCCGGACGACGATACACGATTATCTACATGCGTGACCATTACGCATATCTGCAGACAATTCAATATCGAAATTGAACAGCAGCCTTGTTACAGCGAGTATAACTCTTAATCGTCAAAGTTTCTGAGAAGAAATATGTACAACAAGTTCAACGTTAATTCTACAATTATGACGATACATTCATGTATACAGTCTACAAGCTCACAACTTGCAAGTTGTTTATACCCTTATATATAAGGAAGTCGGAATTATATTCAAAACTGAAATTACTTTCACGACAACCAGGAAAATAACCTACCCAGCATAAAATTACAGAGCGAGATATTTTGGCGGGAGGTTTCAGCGGTTACCATTAACCCTCGAAACACGTGGTCACTCGGATAACCGGGAAGCTACGGTGAAGACCGGCGTTTATGCTAATATCAACGACGACAAGAATTTATTCAAGGTGGGTTTTTTTCCCGCTACACCGGTGACATCACAGCGCGGGTATTATACAGAATCAAAATGCCTTGTTCTGATTGGACCGCGAGGGACAACGACCTACACAGAGGTCGATCTCTATTCACAGTTCAAGACTTACGTCACAAGTGACAACTATATATCAGTGAACGAGCAAGCCTCATTACAGTCCAGTTAACCTGAACATTCATGATTAGACTGCCTTTCTTCAAGTTAGAGACCTCCCCTGTCAAGTATAGACGAGGGATCGGCAGTCAGGCGATTTTACATAAAGTTCAACGAGGACAGACACACCTGGTTGTGCACCTACATCGACAAGGACTTCGCAGCGAATTACCTAGACGAAAGATACAAGTGGATCTAAATCCACAGCGTTTCAGACTACAGCTGAATTTCATCAAGCTACTAACACAACTAGATGGTTAGTAAACCTACTAAACTTCTGTTTGGAGAATAAAGCGGAAATTTCTTCCCAACCTGGGGATATGAATATAGTGCTCCAACACCTCACAAGTGAGGTTTATGAACACGCTGGATGACATACTTGGACCCCATGATACGATGATTCTATCAAGATGGCCAGCAAGAGCACTGTAAATTTATCTCCACCAAACCAAACAGGAGGAAAAAATGCAACAGATTATTTCCTCTATCATCAACTTACGCAGAGTGAAGTCTCATGTACTATATCTCCATTTGGATCAGAACTGTCATACTACGTGCATATGCGGATGGACCTATTCCGACCCTCCATGAGCTTAATACTCATGATATTATAGCTTAACTTCTACAATTGTTCTACACAAATGTGATTGAAATAATGGAGGGTTTATTTCTGAAATCCGATATGGTGGTTGCAAACCATTATCTGAGAGATATCACCACCGAGGACGTCTCAGGTATACACCAATTCGATCCCATGGTCCTCGCAGACAACAGCTGACAGTTCCTCGGAGAAGATAAGTCAATCTAACAGATTTTTACTTATCTTATAACAATACTAAATAGCTTCATGCTATATATAATTTACTTAAGTTCCTTTTATCATCACAGTACTATGATTATTACATCATACAATATATAAGTTAACAACTCTACAGAGTTTGTTATTATATATATTTACCTTAAGTTATTCATATCTTAAGAGTAATACTATGGTTACATGATAAATGCATTAGCTAACAAACTCTACAGAGTTTTTGGCTATTTTATACATAGCTTAAGTTAATTAAGCTAACAAACTCTATGGAGTTTTACTATTATATAGGTAACTTAAGCTAATTATACCTTAAGCATAGTACTATACTCATATTATTAAAATATATTGGCTAACAAACTCTAAGGAGTTTTGCTATTATATAGGTAGCTTAAGCTTATTCATATCTTAAGCTTAGTACTATGTTTATATCATATAAGTAGATTAGCTAACAAACTCTAAAGAGTTTTTGCTATTTGGCTTAAGTATCATCATATTTCTAAGCAATATGGTTATATTATAACATGTATTAGCTAACAAACTCTACAGAGTTTTAGCTATTATATATGTAACTTAAGCTTATTCATATCTTAAAGCGCAGTACTATGTTTATATCATATAGGTATATTAGCTATCAAAACTCTAAAAGAGGGTTTTGCTATTATATATTTCCGCTTAAGTTTCATCATATTTTAAGCTTTATGGTTACATTATAACATGTATTAGCTAACAAACTCTACGGAGTTCTTGCTATTATATATGTAGCTTAAGTTTTCCTTCATAAGCTCAATACTAGGTTTATATCATAGCTAACAAACTCTAAAGGGTTGTTTTTAAGCTATTATACAATTAGCTTAAGTTTTCATCATATCTTAAGCAGTATGTTTACATTATAAAGGTATTAGCTAACAAAACTTCGACGGAGTTTTGTTATTATATATATATAGCTTAAGTTTCATCATAACTTAAGCTCAGTACTATGTTTTTAACATAAAAGTATATTAGTTAATAAACTCTAAGGAGTTTATTTTGCTATATACATTTAGCTTAAGTCTAATCTTATCTTAAGCTTAGTACTATGGTTACACTATAAACATATTAGCTAATAAACTCTACAGAGTTTTTGGCTATTATATATGTAGCTTAAGTTAATAATATCTTAAGCACAATACTATACTCATATTGTAAAATATATTAGCTAACAAACTCTCACGGAGTTCTGCTATTATATATGTAGCTTAAGTTCATTATATCTTAAGCACACTACTATACTCATATTGTAAAATATATTAGCTAACAAACTCTCATGGAGTTTTGCTATTATATATGTAGCTTAAGTTAATTATATCTTAAGCACACTACTATACTCATATTGTAAAAATATATTAGCTAACAAAACCCTACAGAGTTTTGCTATATATATGTAGCTTAAGTTAATTATATCTTAAGCTCAGTACTATACTAATATTATAAATATATATTAGCTAACAAACTCTACAGAGTTTGGCTATTATATATGTAGCTTAAGTTAATTATAGCTTAAGCACAGTACTATACTCATATTATAAAAATATATTAGCTAACAAACTCTACAGAGTTTGGCTATTATATATGTAGCTTAAGTTAATTATAGCTTAAGCACAGTACTATACTCATATTATAAAAAAATATATTAGCTAACAAACTCTACAGAGTTTTGCTATTATATATGTAGCTAAAGCTTATTCATATCTTAAGCTCAGCATTATATCTATATCATATAAGTATATTAACTAACAAACTCTAAAGAGTTTGCTATTATATAAATAGCTTAAGTTTAATCATATCTTAAGCTTAGTACTATGTTATATCTTAAAGTATTTTAGCTAACAAACTCTAAGGAGTTTATACTAGCATATTAACAAGCTTAAGTCTATTAGTCTTAAGCATTGTATTAATGTTATATTTACTTTATCATAATAAGTACATGGTAATAACCTTTTATATGGCAGCTGATAAGTTAGCACTAGCAGCAGGAATTCATCAGTTCAGTGCCTTTATGAAGTTCCCATAGGGTTATTACAATCATCACAGTTCAAATCACTAATTATTAAAAATCCAAAGTATTAGATATTCCCACCTCCGTTCGTTAGTAGGATGCTACAAACAAAAAGAGCATGAGTCAGGATAAGGAAAAATATGTAATTTTGGAGTAAAATTGATATTTTATACTTATCCTGACTCATGAGGTCAGCCCTCCCATCCTCCCCAAATAACACTTTGGATTTCCCTGTAAATTCAAATGTTGGGCTCAGTATATGAGGAGAGAGTGAGGCACATGGGTAGAGGTGGCGCCCTCGTTCCCGAGCTTGTGGAAAGGAGGTAACTCGTGGTGAATACTAATTAGTGATTTTAAATTGAAGGGAGCTTCAATTAGGGAGATACAAGTGTTCCACTATGTTCGCAAGAAGAAGAAGACAAGCAAAAAGAGCATGAGTCAGGATAAGTATAAAATATCAATTTTACTCCAAAAATTACATTTTTGGGAGTCATAAAAAATTTACAGACTGTCATCATATAGCTGGAATATTGCTGAGTGCGGCATAAACAAAACTTACTCAATAAATGGCCGGTCTAAACACCTTAGACTTACAGTGTATTGTGGTTTAAACATATTTATTTCATGAAAAAGCAACCACAGAATTTTCATGAGTTGGATTGGTCAACAAGCTCAAAAGAACTTATATGAAGACCGCTCCAATATACTGCCTGACTGACTGAGTTTGGTTTTACGCCGCTTATAGCAATATTCCAGCAACATCACGGCGGGGGACACCAGAAGTGGGCTTCACACTTTGTAGCTCCAATATACATAGATATATGAAACAGTATCATGACAAGAAAAGATGATATCTAAAATGAAAGTAGATGGTATGACATGTAGTCGGAAAATTAAAATCATGATGGTTGTATACATTTATGGCATCTGCAGTGTATTGTTGGTTCATGTGTTCACTATTTAGTTTCATGAATGTCTTGGACCGCCTCCGTGGTGTAGTGGTTAGAGCCGTCCGCCCGGAGAGCGGAAGGTCGTGGGTTCGATCGCCGACCGCGTCATACCAAAAGACATTAAGATATGGTACTTGTTGGTCCCTGCCTGGCGTCCGGCTTTCATGGGTACAAGGACTGGTCGGCTCGGAGTCAGTATAATGTGTCTGAGTGAGGTATTCATGCTTCACTGCGGCATGGTATCTCAGTGGGCTAGCACTATAAAACCAGCTTAAGTCTGGGCTAGTACAAGCAGCCGCACATAGACATACACACGCATGCACGTCGTCATATGAGCGAAATATTCTCAAGTACGACGTTAAACCCAATTTCACCTCGCCTCATGAATGTCTTGACTCAGTGACTGAGTAGGGGTGGTGGGGTGGCTTAGTGGTTATACCGTTCGCTTGTCATGTCGAAGACCTGGGTTTAATTCCCCACATGGGTTCAATGTGTGAAGCCCATTTCTGGTATATCCCGCTGTGATATTGCTGAAATGTTGCTAAAGGCGGCATAAACCTAGACTCACTCACTCACTCGTTGATTGAGTCTCGTCTCCAGTATTTTATACAGAAACTGTAATTACTTTCGCCGATGTATAAAATTGAGTGATGGCGGGAATAACAAGGATAGAAAGTAGCATCCATTGACTTTGTTTGTTCCTTTAACCAGCTTGCAGTGTGGAATACGCGATATCGAGGGTTAATACATGATCTGTGTGAAAGTGGAAGTTTTACAGAGGCCAAACTGTTGTATGGAGGTGTTTGGTGTGTGTTCCAGGAGTCGGAGCAGAGGACGTCCTCAGCTCAACTACAGGGTCAGATGGAGCACCTCAACCAGCAGACAGAGGAGTACAAGGTGAGACAGGGGACAGGGAGATGGACCGAGGGAGGGATTGAGGGAAGCAGAGAGGGTGGGTTGAGGGAGAGAGTCTAACCAAAAAGGTCTTGTTAAGACATCATTGCTCTATGGCTAGGTGAGAGGTGCGAGCCAGGTAATTAGCATTAGCCACTGAAGCGAGAACCTTTGTTTAAGGGCTATAGTCAGTGTAGGAAAGATGTAGAATATCTAGCCTGTCCACAGGACTGGCAGGTCAAATTTTTTACCAGTCCTGCCAAAATCTAGCCTGTCCTCCAAATATAAATAAAACACCTTCGGCAGTAAATATTCAAAAAGGTTATAATCATTATATATATGTCATTGGTTTGCTAAAATTGACCCGACATGAGGACGGACTAGATATTTTTTTAACCTGTCCTCCACAAAATTCACCCGTCTCGGACGTTGGGACGGGCTATCTTTCCTACACTGCTATAGTCTATATCTACAATGCAACACGATTTAAGAGTATGCAAATATCTGTGCGTTTGTTTGTAATATGAAAATTCGGTTTAAACGTATTTATTCTGCAAAGGGCTAGATGAAAACTTAAGATTGATTAAATCTTCTTGAAGTGATAATAAAATTATGTTGATTTGATAATATCATGATTTATAGATCTAGGTCATTCTTGGTTACCATACAGGCGTTATTTATGTTATATCCGTGTTTGGGCATTTAAATCGCTGCATTCTAATTGGAGTCTGCAGTGGATTTTTTGACAGAACCTGTTTCCAGTGTTGATATCAAACCCAAATGAAGTATTACAATATGATGTAATCTTATTCTTGAATTCACTTGGTGATTGAATACGTCTGAGTTCTTCAAGCAAAAGAATTCCAAAGTCCAGTAGTACTGGGTAAAAATGTTAGTTCATGATAGTGATAGTTAATTTCTTAATGCACCTTCTTTCTACCGGAGGGAAGAGATCAGTTTCTAATTTATTATGACTTGTTCCCCTTGTAGCCCCACATAGTGTGCACCAAACTGTAATTTTTCAAGCACTTATGCCTGACTAACTGTACAGTTATCCCATATACAACTACAATATTCAAATAATGGCAGAATAAAGGATTTATAATAATGGATAGTTTTTTTCTTGATAATCGGTATTTGTAACTCCTTAAACAAATTATCATTGGTGAAACTTTATCAAGTACAGAATTTATCTGTGCAGTCCAATTTGCGTCTTTTTGAAACCAGAGGCCTAAATGTTAGTGCTTGCAATAATAATTATTTTTACATTAATAATCTTGGACTAGTTAAAATCATTTCACTAATATCACTAATTGAGCATTTCCTGAAATACCCCAAGAGAATTCAAATAATACCATATCAATGTATCTCACTTATTTACAAATGTCACTAATGTCAAATCCTCCCAAAAAGTTCAAATAATACCATATCAGTGTACATGTATCTCACTTTAATACAATTTTCACAAATCTCACTAAGGAGGAGAGGAAGGGAGGGGGGAGATAGGGAGAGAGGGAGGGAGATAGGAGAGGTAGGAGGGAGGGAGATAGGACAGAGAGGGAAGATAGGAGAGGGAGGAGGGGAGATAGGAGAGGTAGGGAGGGAGATAGGGAGGGAGGGAGGAAGATAGGGAGGGAGGGAGAGGAGGAAGGAGGGAGATAGGAGAGGAGGAGAGGGGGGGATAGGAGAGAGGAGGGAGATAGAGAGAGGAGGAGGGAGATAGGAGAGGAGGGAGGAGATAGGAGAGGAGAGGATAGGAGATGGAGAGACAGGGAGGAAGGAAGAGAGAGAGGAGAGGGAGAGACAGGAGGAGGAGGAGGAGAGACAGGAGAGAGAGACAGAGAGGGAGGAAGACAGAGGGAGGGGAGACAGGAGGGAGGGAGGGAGGGAGAGGAGAGAGAGACAGGGAGGAGAGATGGAAGAGGAGGAGAGGGAGAGGGAGAGGGTAGAGACAGGGAGGGAAGAGACAGGGAGGAGGAGGAGAGAGGAGGAAGAGATAGGAGAGAGGAGGGAGAGAGGAGGAGGACAGAGAGGAGAGAGGAGAGGGAGAAAGGAGGACGGATGGGCAGAGAGGGAGATGACAGGAGAGGGAGGGAACGACAGGAGATGTCATCCGTCAGTCGGAGAGGGAGGGAGGCATATTTGCCCTTATCCTGGACTCATGCTCTTTTGCTTGTCTTCTTCTGCTTGAACATAGTGGAACACTTGTATCCCCTAACTGGAAGCCCTTCAATTTAAAATCACCAATTAGTATTCACCACGAGTTAGCACCCCTTTCCACAAGCGCTGGGAATCCAGGGCCACCTCTACCCATGTGCCTCATCTCTCCTTCTTCTACCAGTGAGCTGGATCGAGAGCTCTGTGTTCTCCGACACACCATATCCTTTGAAATATATTTAGTTAGTTACCTCGTGATAGACATCTATAGAGGTTTAGCTAGTATCCTTCCAATCGATTATATATTGATATTTAGTCGTTTACAGTTTATTCAATGGACGTGGTTTGTTTCAGTGGATTACGCTTGATGAAAATTCTGTACTATTGCAGATTACGCTTTATGCTGCTGCTGATCCGCCTTTTAATATGATGCACGGCCATGTTTATTATATTCACATTGCAGTTGGCGGTACTAATTTATCCTATTCTACCTTTTATTAATATTTACTTTGCGTTTGGCACGCACAGCAGATAGGTCGTGATGCAGACTCTAGTATGACTGATACACCGAACCCCTCGCCAGTCTACTGCTGCTGGTCGACTCCTCGCGGTGGTGTGGTGTTCCGGGCTAGAGTGGTGGAGAGGTGTGGGGACGTAGTCCGCCATCTCCAAGAAGCATCCTGCTTCACCAGACATCCCATCGCCGCAGCAGAAGACTAGAGGGTTTTTCTACCACATCTCAACAGCAGCCAGACCGCTCCCATCGCAGTTTGGGCCTGTTTGATGATCAGCCGTCATCATACCAGATGTACATCAAAGATTGACCGATGTCGCTCAGATCAGCATGCAGCCTGATGTACCAACGCGAGATATGCGATGATCGCCCTGAGGGTCCCCATCATTACCAACACTCAACGCAGACGCCGCGACACCCAGGGCAGCGCCGAATTCTGAGGGAAAATCAACGAAGTCTACTAGGACTTTCAACCGGCGATTGTTCCAGCCGATGACCTGGACCTCTACGATGATCAGCTGATCATCATCCCGACGCATTTCACAAGAAACGACCGGTGACAGCTACAACGGCATATCAGCAGAGATCACCATGCAGCCTGATGCCTCTACACTGATGTCGGACGATTTTCCGGTGGACCCCTCCATTAACACCGCAGATAAAGCACCCGGCGACGCACCTTCGCCGCAGACCATCCCAGAAGACATGATGCGCGACAAATTATGAACATCATGGAGGACCACTATATCTGCGGTAGCAGGGTCCAGAAGCCAAGGCTCCAACGTGAGACAGTAACCCAGAGGCACCCCGTCCAACGTGAAAGCAGCCAGGACGATGTCACCTTCGCCAAGGAAGTCCACGGACCACCTTGGACGCAAGGACCTAGATGTACAGCCAGCGGCGGAAAGAACCTAGATGTACATAGCCTTCGGAAGGACTTCGCGAAGGCAGGATAGATCATCACCTTATGCGTTTCATCCCCCTAGATGTGGACTCGGACCATCAGACATCACGAAGCCTTCGCTGAAGGTCATATCGTCGTTCTCCGGACCGACGCCAGAGGCTTTGCATAAGGCATGGCGACACCTGAATCCAGATCATCATCATCTAGAAGGACATCGAGGGACTATACAAGAGCTTGCTAAACTATCAACGTTCCCCTCACAAGTCTCTCGAAGATCAACCCATAGACAAGTTGATCATCGATATCAAGTATAAGAACTACAATCGTATATTGGTTCTGTTGAATCCATGACGAGACGTATGTTCGCTGGCCTAAATAGATCTAGAACTATCAATTAGACACTTATCACCAGACTTCGTGAACACGACTTCTGAATATGATAAGATGATCCATGCGTCCCTTACTTAGGTAAGCGCTTCACGATCCCACATCCTGTTAAACACAGAGGCTGTTCACGAAGCTAAAGCTCATATATATATTTATTATATATATATATATACTAATCGGGACTTTGATTTCGACACTCGCCTGCGATGGTCGCTAAGGCTAAAGTGGCTCCAAGTCTACTTCACCCAGAAGATCTAGAAGGATACCGAGAACTCGCTAAGTCTCCGGCGCTCACCGAGGAAGTCTCCTCCAAGGTTTCCATATACTAGCCACTCGTCATATATAGCTACTGCGTCGGTCCGCTTCAAGACGCCGCGATAAGTTGATTATCAACTGTATGCCAGATGCCGCCTATAAGCCTATACGCCGAAGATAATTGCTCAGGCTATTTACAACACAGAACGCCGGCTGTATTATTAGTCAACGACATTTCATAGATCTTCACAGAAATCAACTATTCCGTATAAATTGCTAATATACAATCCCGGACGACGATACGATTATCTACATGCGTGACCATTACGCATATCTGCAGACAATTCAATATCGAAATTGAACAGCAGCCTTGTTACAGCGGTATAACTCTTTAATCGCCAAAGTTTCTGAGAAGAAATATGTACAACAAGTTCAACGTTAATTCTACAATTATGACGCATACATTCATGTATACAGTCTACAAGCTCACAACTTGCAAGTTGTTTATACCCTTATATATAAGGAAGTCGGAATTATATTCAAAACTGAAATTACTTTCACGACAACCAGGAAAATAACCTACCCAGCATAAAATTACAGGTTTAGATATTTCACCGGAGGTTTCAGCTGTTACCATTAAACCTCAAAACACGTGGTCACCGGATAACTTGGAAGCTACGGTGAAGACCGCCGCTTATGCTAATATCATCGGCGGCCTACAAGAATTTATTCAAGGTGGGTTTTTCCCGCTACACGGTGACATCACAGCTGGTATTATACAGAATCAAAATGCCTTGTTCTGATTGGACCATGAGGGACAACCGACCCACACAGAGGTCGATCTCAATTCACAGTTCAAGACTTACGCCACAAGTGACAACTATATATCAGTGAACGAGCAAGCCTCATTACAGTAAGTCCAGTTAACCTGAACATTCATGATTAGACTGCCTTTCTTCAGCCAAAGTTAGAGACCTCCCCTGTCAAGTTAAGACGAGGGATCGGGCAGTCAGGCTGATTTTACATAAAGTTCAACGAGGACAGACACACCTGGTTGTGCACTCTACATCGTCAAGGACTTCTGCTTAATTAATTACCTAGACGAAGATACAAGTGGATCTTAAATCCACAGCGCTCAGACTACAGCTGAATTTCATCAAGCGACTAACACAACTAGATGGTTAGTAAACCTACTAAACTTCTGTTTGGAGAATAAAACGGAAATTTCACGCCCAACCTGGGATATGAATATAGTTCCAACACCTCACAAGTGAGGTTTATGAACACGCCTGGATGACATACTTGGACCCCATGATACGATGATTCTATCAAGTTGGCCAGCAAGAGCACTGTAAATTTATCTCCACCAAACCAAACAGGAGGAAAAATGCAACAGATTATTTCCTCTATCATCAACTTACGCAGAGTGAAGTCTCATGCTATATCTCCATTTGGATCAGAACTGTCATACTCACGTGCATATGCGGATGGACCTATTCCGACCCTCCATGAGCTTAATACTCATGATATTATAGCGCTAACTTCTACAATTGTTCTACACAAATGTGATTGAAATAATGGAGGGTTTATTTTGAAATCCGATATGGTGGTTGCAAACCATTATCTGAGAGATATCACCAATCGAGGGCGTCTCAGGTATACACCAATTCGATCCCCATGGTCCTCGCAAGACAACAGCTGACAGTTCTCGAGAAGATAAGTCAATCTAACAGATTTTTACTTATCTTATAACAATACTAAATAGCTTCATGCTATGTATAATTTACTTAAGTTCCTTTTATCATCACAGTACTATGATTATTACATCATACAATATATAAGTTAACAACTCTACAGAGTTTGTTATTATATATATTTACCTTAAGTTATTCATATCTTAAGAGTAATACTATGGTTACATGATAAATGCATTAGCTAACAAACTCTACAGAGTTTTTGGCTATTTTATACATAGCTTAAGTTAATTAAGCTAACAAACTCTAATGAGTTTTACTATTATATAGGTAACTTAAGCTAATTATACCCTTAAGCATAGTACTATACTCATATTATTAAAATATATTGGCTAACAAACTCTAAGGAGTTTTGCTATTTATATAGGTAGCTTAAGCTTATTCATATCTTAAGCTTAGTACTATGTTTATATCATATAAGTAGATTAGCTAACAAACTCTAAAGAGTTTTTGCTATTTGGCTTTAAGTATCATCATATTTCTAAGCAATATGGTTATATTATAACATGTATTAGCTAACAAACTCTACAGAGTTTTAGCTATTATATATGTAACTTAAGCTTATTCATATCTTTAAGCGCAGTACTATGTTTATATCATATAGGTATATTAGCTATCAAAACTCTAAAGAGGGTTTTGCTATTATATATTTTCGCTTAAGTTTCATCATATTTTAAAGCTTTATGGTTACATTATAACATGTATTAGCTAACAAACTCTCACGGAGTTCTTGCTATTATATATGTAGCTTAAGTTTTCCTTCATAAGCTCAATACTAGGTTTATATCATAGCTAACAAACTCTAAAGGGTTGTTTTGGCTATTATACAATTAGCTTAAGTTTCATCATATCTTAAGCAGTATGTTTACATTATAGGAGATAGCTAACAAGGCTTCGGCGGAGTTTTGTTATTATATATATATAGCTTAAGTTTCATCATAACTTAAGCTCAGTACTATATTTTTAACATAAAAGTATATTAGTTAATAAACTCTAAGGAGTTTATTTTGCTATATACTTTTAGCTTAAATCTAATCTTATCTTAAGCTTAGTACTATGGTTACACTATAAACATATTAGCTAATAAACTCTACAGAGTTTTTGGCTGTATTATATATGTAACTTAAGTTAATAATATCTTAAGCACAATACTATACTCATATTGTAAAATATATTAGCTAACAAACTCTACGAGGAGTTTTGCTATTATATATGTAGCTTAAGTTCATTATATCTTAAGCACACTACTATACTCATATTGTAAAATATATTAGCTAACAAACTCTACAGAGTTTTGCTATTATATATGTAGCGTTAAGTTAATTATATCTTAAGCACACTACTATACTCATATTGTAAAATATATTAGCTAACAAAACCCTACAGAGTTTTGCTATATATATGTAGCTTAAGTTAATTATATCTTAAGCTCAGTACTATACTAATATTATAAATATATATTAGCTAACAAACTCTACAGAGTTTGGCTATTATATATGTAGCTTAAGTTAATTATAGCTTAAGCACAGTACTATACTCATATTATAAAATATATTAGCTAACAAACTCTACAGAGTTTGGCTATTATATATGTAGCTTAAGTTAATTATAGCTAAGCACAGTACTATACTCATATTATAAAAATATATTAGCTAACAAACTCTACAGAGTTTTGCTATTATATATGTAGCTAAAGCTTATTCATATCTTAAGCTCAGCATTATATCTATATCATATAAGTATATTAACTAACAAACTCTAAAGAGTTTGCTATTATATAATTAGCTTAAGTTTAATCATATCTTAAGCTTAGTACTATGTTATATCTTAAAGTATTTTAGCTAACAAACTCTAAGGAGTTTATACTAGCATATTAACAAGCTTAAGTCTATTAGTCTTAAGCATTGTATTAATGTTATATATACTTTATCATAATAAGTACATGGTAATAACCTTTTATATGGCAGCTGATAAGTTAGCACTAGCAGCAGGAATTCATCAGTTCAGTGCCTTTATGAAGTTCCCATAGGGTTATTACAATCATCACAGTTCAAATCACTAATTATTAAAAATCCAAAGTATTAGATATTCCCACCTCCGTTCTGTAGGATGCTACAAGCAAAAAGAGCATGAGTCAGGATAAGGAAAAATATGTAATTTTTGGAGTAAAATTGATATTTTATACTTATCCTGACTCATGAGGTCAGCCCTCCCATCCTCCCCAAATAACACTTTGGATTTCCCTGTAAATTCAAATGTTGGGCTCAGTATATGAGGAGAGAGTGAGGCACATGGGTAGAGGTGGCGCCCTCGTTCCCGAGCTTGTGGAAAGGAGGTAACTCGTGGTGAATACTAATTAGTGATTTTAAATTGAAGGGAGCTTCAATTAGGGAGATACAAGTGTTCCACTATGTTCGCAAGAAGAAGAAGACAAGCAAAAAGAGCATGAGTCAGGATAAGTATAAAATATCAATTTTACTCCAAAAATTACATGCTTGTCATAAGAGGCGACTAACGGGATCGGGTGGTCAGGCTCACTGACTTGGTTGACACATGTCATCGGTTCCCATTTGCGCAGATCTATGCTCATGCTGTTGATCACTGGATTGTCTTGTCCAGACTCGATTATTTACAGACCACAGCCATATAGCTGGAATATTGCTGAGTGCGGCGTAAAATTTAACTCACTCACTCCAAGGTTGTGTAAGTGTTGTTGGAGAGTAAGGGAGGTAACTATGATTATTGGCTATGTCCCCACAGGGGTACTGAAGGATAGGTTCCCAGAATCCTTTGCTTGCTGTTAGCACTACTGGAGAGTGGCTTGTCTGTTTGAGTGTCGACAAGTGATTTTATTTATTGTGACTTGTGACCACAGTCAGTGTTTATCCTGGTCCAAACTGACCCATGAAGGTCCGGGTTAGAATTGGTCTTCAGTAACCCATGCTTGCCATACGATGTGACTAACAGGATCAGGTGGTCATTCTTGCTGACCTGGTTGACACATGTCATGCAAGTCGATGCTCATGCTGTTGATCACTGGATTGTCTAGTCCAGAGTCCATTATTTACAGACCACCACCATATAGCTAGAATATTGTTGAGTGCAGTATTTAACAATCAACCAACCTGGTCCAAACAGGTATCTGTGCAGTGTTGCAGAACAACGAATGATTTTACACATGTGCTGATTTGCAGGTTCGAGCACACAGTGTCCTGCGACAACAGAAGACGAAGTCTCCACAAGATTCAGCCAAAGAAGTTGAGAAGCAGGAAAAGTAAGTTGGACATTTAAAAAGGACTTTGAACAATTGAACACCATAATGTCTGAGGCGTTTGGGTTGCCCAGTGGTTAAAAGTGTTTGCTTGTTACACTAAAGGCTCGGGTAGGATTACGCACATGGAAACCACATGAAGTTAGATCAGGGCAGTTGAATGGAATGATGTGAGATTAAAGTGTAGGAGGAGTTTTTATCATCAGTCTCCATCCACATGAGACTTGGGATGTTTTGTAACAGTGTTCTGTTTGGTTTCAGAGAGAGGCTTGAGGCCGCTGTAGAACAACTGAAGTTCAAACTGCAGCAGGTCAGGTAAGTGAGATCCTATCCTGCACACCCACCATTGATGACCTTCATGCTCAGGACAGACACAAGGGGCTGTAACTCTCATTGTTTGTGTTGATACTTTTCTCGGTCAACAATACATTAGAACCAGACTTGGGCTGACCCTACCTCTCACTTATTCCGTGTTTCAGCGAGAGCCTGAGTACGTCCCAGGCAGATCTGGAGGTCCTACAGGATGAACATGAGCGTCTTCAGCAACGACATGACAGCCTGCTACAGGACATGGACACCAAGGATGCCAACTACCGCAAGAGGTGAGGTTGTCAGGCTGGAGTAGAAGCTGAGTCTGTGGCCCTGAACACAGGGTAACTTCATCCCGAAGAATAGATTGCCCGAGCAGTTAATATCAACAGCAAAGTATTGGACAGTACTTTATTGACACCTGTGTTTTGCCCTCAGGCAGGTGTTAGTAAGGCATTGACACCTATGTGTTGACTGTGATCAGAAGTTAGTGAAGTATTGACTGATGTGTCATACCAATGTATGTTATGGATTTACAACTTCTTTGTTATTTACAACACGTTTCCGGGCTACTTCTTGCCCCTTCATCATCATTCACCTGATAAAGGAACGGAAGCAACCCAGAAACGTCATGTTGTGAATAATAAAGAAGTTGTAAATCCATACCTTACTTTGTTATGTTACCTTCCAACTTCTAATTGCCCATCAAGGAAGTGACTAATGTGTGTTGCCTGCAGGCTGGAGGAGGTGTCGGCAGAGAAGACCAGCAGTGCTGTGGAGCAGCAGGAACTCATCTCACAGCTCACCTCACAGAACGAGTCACTTGCTGTCTCACTCAAGGTTTGTGCAAAGGGAGATAATCAAGGGATGCAAAGGGAGATAATCCTGGCATGGAGACAACTGGAAAATATGGTCAAAACACGTATGTTCCAACCACACAAACCTTTGACTTTGATATCACAGCTTACCTCACAGAACGAGTCACTTGCCATCTCACTCAAGGTGAATATGTTTAGTTTTACGCTGCACTCAGCAATATTCCAGCTATATGGCGGCAGTCTGTAATAATTGAGTCTTAACCAGACAATCAAGTGATCAACAGCATGAGCATCGATCTCACTATGATAACCGCTAACGGCCTAACTGCATCGATCCCGTTAGTAGCCTCTTATGACAAGCATGGGTTACTGAAGATAAATTCTATCCCGGATCTTCATGGGTTCACTCAAGGTTTGTGATGTGTGTTGAGTGAGTGAAACAGAACAGCCACTATCTCACTTAAGTCATTGATCTGTGTTTCAATGTGTTTTATTGAGTGATCACTTATCAATTTTGCAGTGAATGTTATGAATGAGTAACATAAAAGAAAATAAGCGTGGTAAATGATAAATATCCATTCAAGAATGATGAATTGTTCGGTACAGCCTGGAGACTGGAGACAATAACATACAGACAATACAATAAGTTCGATCCTAGGGAGCACACCGTGTCTTGTGGGGGTGGGGTATGTGTGTGTGTGTGTGTGTGTGATTAAGGTACAGAAGGAATGCAAAGGGAGATAATCAGATAATCTTGTTAATGGTGTGACATGGAGACCACTAGAAATATGGTCAAACCTTATCGAATATCCTCAGTGACACAATCTTTTGTTGTTGTTATGTCATGGAATATTTCCTGGCTACAGAATAAAATGTTTCACTCACTCACTCACCCTAGTACCAGGCTGATTTATAAAACTCGTTGATTTGTGATGCAGGAGCAGATCCGTGCAATGCAGGATGACCACAACAAGGCCCAGGAGTTCCTGCAGAAGCAGCTCGACCTGGCAGAGACTGAGAACCTCCGCCTCCAGAGGGAGCTGCAACAACAGCTACAAAGGTCACTGAGGGTCAAGGACAGCAGCGAGACACGAGATTCGCCCCAAGAGTTTGTGGCAGATTATATGCATCCTGAAGAGCGACAGGAAGGGGAGGTAATTAACATATACCAATTCACACTACAATAGGATGGGGGTCTGATTGTTAAAACATCTGATTGTCTGTCAAATGCCATGGTTTATTCTTTTTCAGAGAGATCGTCCTTGGGGTACATATTATGCATTTTCCGGCTGTAAAATGTCCTGTGACAGTTGTATCAATGTTTTTTGAATAAAAAGATTGTACAATAAATAAACTCTTTTACTTATTATACGGACCCTACCTCACGGAGTTACCTCCCTTAGCGCATGCGCACCAACTGGGTAGGCTCCTAGACCCGTATCATCATTCCTTCTGCTGTCACGGCCCTGAACAGACGTTCGTTGTGATTACCTTTCATGAGCCGTACGGCGCTGTATTTTAAGATGTCTGAGACACCACCTGTATGTTTGGTTTTTATTTGTTTAAAACAATAACAGTAAAGCCTTACAGTGGTTGTTTCATAATTGTGACTTTGTATAAGTACTATCAAAACACGCTAAACTTTCCCCGTGGTTTACACGCAAGTTTGCTCTGCCATGGCGTGGAAGTTTAGCTGCGTCGCGCGGGTCGTAATATTGGCGCTTTTAAAACCAACTATTACTTTCCGTGGTAACCTTCACGTATTTTTCAATGTTTTCACGCGGTTTCTCTGCTTCTGGCCACAAGTTAACTAACATGTTTACGTGTTTGTTTCAGGCTTTACCTGTTGTTCGGGTCTGTGGGGAAGTATTCCCCGGGCTGACAGTCACTCCCAATGCGTGGCCTGTCTGGAGAAGACGGGCCATGTGGCTGATACATGTTCAATTTGTCTGGCCTTTTCCCCCGGCACAGAAGAGGCGGGCGGCCGACACCCTGTTTTACCGCGAGATGCGGAGGCGGAGGGGACCTGACGCAGGTTCCCCGGCCAAAATCTAAACGGGCGGCCCAAAAAGGAAAAATCCCGCGGCCCTTCCCCTCTCCTACCACTTCGAAAGTGGTTTTGACATGTCTCTAATGGAGTCGATGTTTCAGAAGCAGATGGACTCAATGAAGTCCTTCGCTCGGGAGTCGGTTGGAGGTCTCCGCCAGGAGTTCTCGCCCACCTCGGACGGGGGCGGAGAGTCCGGGTGGGATCGCCGCCTCGGCTAGATCCCTCAGCCTTGAGGCGCTCTGTCGCATCCGCTGCCTCTGGCTTCGGTCCGGACGCCTCGGCTGCTCCGGAGAGGGAGGTGCTCCCAGTCCCCTCTCGGAGCTTGGCGCTTTGGGCCGCTTGAGTATTCCTGGTATTCCGGGTCCCTGGCGCACACCCGCCCCCATGAGAGCGGAGGCACCAGTTCTGCCTGGCCTGCCTCCTGCGCCTCGACCGGGGTCCACGACGCCGGGCTGGCGCTGACGTGGAGCAGTCGGTCTGTTCCTCCTTCCTGTGGTGCCCAGCGCTAGGCAGTCCACCGGGTCGGGTTAGGGTCCTCTTACGGAGGAGACCCAGCCTCTGACTCGGGGCTCGGACGCCGGAGGCAATGGAGCTCGGGAGGTCGAGGAGCATGACGGCAGCTTCGCTTTGCTTCGCCTTGCGGGAGGTCCGCAGAGAATTGCCGAGGGCCTACCCCAGGCCGCGGGTGCCTGCTGGTTGGCGTGGACTCGACTGAGTTCCGCTTGCCTGGTGAGGCGCTTGCCCCTAGGCAACCCTCACAGACGCAGCTCCGCGATTCTGCCATCGCTGGTACGCGGACGGTCGATCCCTCTTGTCTGGTACCCGAGTCAGGTTTGACTTACCTGAACTCGAGGCGGCGCTACCAGCTTGGGGAGGATTCCCTGTTCGTCAGACCCGATCGTGGGACGCAGTGTGTTTTCACTTCCGCCGCCTCCTGGGGAGGCTCGGCTTCCTCCGAGCAGCTCCGCTGCTTTCGGCAAGGGCCACTCCACCTTTTGCCTCGCTTGGCGGCTCCGCGCACGCCGCATCGGACCTACGCAGGAGGTTCTACCGGAACGCCGGCGCAGCAGGTGCGGTGGTGGTCCATGAGGCCTACCTCTCCTCGATACAGAGGTCGGCCCTGGAGGGCGGAGGGGCATGCTGGCGACGATGTCGCCGCGATGTCGCTACTCCCGCCAGCTGTCGGAAGTTCAGGCTCACTCGCTGACTCTTTGCGGTCTGCTGCGCCGACGGTGATGTGCGCAGTCATGGGATGCGCGAGGCTGTGGCTGTCGACGCCCAGGTACTCGGCAGCAACACAGCAGACCTTGCTGGCTCTCCCTTTCCGCCTGGGAGCCGCCCTCTTCCCGGGCACAGCAGGTCATACGGGAGGCTGCCGCTGCAGCTACCTCCTTCGGGCGATTCTAAGGCCTTGTTGAGCACCCGGGTGTCTCTGCGCCTCCAGCCCCTGCACGCCACCTTCCTCCGCCGGGTGCAGCCTACACCCGAAGTCTGCCGGGCTGGCTTCGGCCGCTTGGTAGGGTAGGCGGAGGAGTAGGTCCGCCAAGGGTAGGGGCAAGGAGCAGTCCTCGACCAGCTCCCAGCCTAGCCTGGCGGTGGCTGGAGGTCTGCCCCGACCTCCCGCTAACCCAACAGGCTGCCGCCAAGCCGCGGTGTCACACCCAGTCAGTTCGGGCTACTAGGGTCCACGACGCCGCCTACCCCATATCCCAGTGGGAGGTCAGCTCTCTCTATTCCTGCCGGAATGGGAGAAGGCTACCAACAACGCTTTGGGTGCTGGCCACGGTCAGCATAGGCCATCTCCCCACTGTGGAAGCGAGGTCCGCCCGACTTCACCGGCATAATGACGACTCCGTGCCGCCATGCTGCCAGGGCGGACATATTGCGCCGACGAAGTTCAGGCTCTGCTGGACAAGTCCGCAATCGAGCGCATTCCACCGGGAGAGGAACAGGCGGATTTTACTCCACGCATTCCTCGTCTCCGAAGAAAGACGGCGGGTTCCGCCCGATTCTCAACCTCAAGGGGTTGAATCGCGATGCTCAAGTACCATCCTTCAAGATGGAGACACTGCGCCGGTGATCTCATCTGTTCAGCCCGGGCGATTGGCTCACGCCAATCGAACCTAAAGGATGCGATTCAGCATGTACCCATACATCCCTCGCTCAAGCAGTACCTCCGGTTCTCTTCACGACGGGATGTATTACCAATTCAGGGTGCTCCCTTCGCATATCGACTGCCCCAAGGGTGTTCACCAAGCTCATGTTAGTCCCAGCTACCCTAGCTCGCCGCGAAGGAAGGCGTTGTTACCCTTACCTAGACGACTGGTTGCTCGGAGCACTAACACAGCCAGCGAAGTCAAGATGCTACTCACACAGTGATAGACATTCTAACTCGACTGGGGTGGATCATCAACCTCAAGAAACCGACCTGGTACCCACCCAGGACTTGGTTTTTCTTGGAGCGCGATTCCAAACGTAACAAGGATCTCGCTTCCTTTGTCGCCCGACCGGGTCACCAGAGTTCGAGATGGTATCTTCATTCCTCTCCCAGCCCCAGGCACCAGCACGGACTTGGCTCCGGCTTACTGGGCCATATGGCGGCGACATCTCTGTAGTGTGGCGGGCGCGGTTGAGGATGCGCCCCATACAGCAAGCTTTGGCTGGGCTGTGGACTCACACGGAGGATCTGGAGCGCAGTCTCACAGTCCCCGAAAGTGGTTGACACCTCACCTTCAGTGGTGGACAAATGTCGGAATCTCACCAGGGGTTCCCCTTGGAAATCCCCGACGCCAGCTCTCACAGTTCAGACAGATGCGCCCCCTCACGGGCTGGGGGCGTTCTGGTAGTTCGTCGGCTTCCCGGACTCTGGTCCGGTCAAGCTCACCTTCACATCACGCGTGTTGGAGCTGAGAGCTGTGCGGTTGGTATTCGAAGCTTCAGAGAGCATGTCCGTGGCCAGGTAGTCCGCCTTTCAGTTAGACAACCAGGACGGGCGTATGTCGCATATCCTGAAGCAGGGAGGCACGGTGGGTTCCCAGCGCCTCCGAAGCGTGGGACTTTCTCCTCTGGAGCCACCAGTACGCATTGTCAGGTACTCCCTGTTTATCTCCGGGGCTGGAGAACGTACAGCAGATGCGCCTCTCTCGCCGGATCCTGGCCCCGCGACGAAAGTGGATGCTCGACAGGCAGATATTCACAGTAATCTCCCAGTTGTACGGGTCGCTCGAGGTGGATCTGTTTGCGTCCGGCGGGACGCATCAGACACCCGTGTTCTGCTCTCGATACCGACCAGAGGGCGTTGGCTGCCGACGCCTTCCTGCTGGATTGGACGGGCAAAGTGCTCTGGGCGCCGCTACCACTCATTCCCGCGGTCCTTTCACAGCTGTCCACCCAGCCAGCTCGGCTACTTGTGCTACTGGCACCGCTTTGGCCGTCACAGAGCTGGTTTCCGTAATTTCAGGTTTCTGGCTCAGCCTCCTGTTCTATTACCTTATGCATCGACATTCTCACTCAGAACGGAGCTTCCACCCAAATCCACGGATTCAGTGGGTGGCTTGGCCTCTGTCAGGTCTAACCTCGAGGCACGCTGGAATTCCTGCAGCAGTTGCAGACACAATTCTGGCTTCGGTATGGATTCACAAACGCTCAGTATGAGGATAGGTGGTCCCGCTATGCGCGCCGCTGGTGTTCAGATAGGGCATTGCAGATCCCTTTTCTGGCGGATTTAGTCCCAGTATTGGAGTTTTGCAAGCTCGCTTTGAAGAAGGCCTGGCGGCTTCGACCATTCGTGGCTACTCCACCGCTATTTCCACTTTTCACACCCCTGTCGATGGTGCTCTTTCTGGGGCAGCACCTCTCGCAGACAGCGCTTAGCTGGCGCGGAACGGATTCGACCTGCTCAGGCAGGGTAACCAGTCCACCTTTGGGATTTGTCGATCGTGCTTTCGATTGGCTGTCCGTCCCACTTTCTCACACCTATCGGCTATTTCCATTCAGTTGTTGACCTGGAAAGCTGTGTTTCTGGTGGCGGTAACATCTGGTCGAAGAGTCGGGCGATATACATGCTATGTCGTCCGTAACCGGCGCTGACTGTGTTTCACACGGATCGCGGTCAGCATTCGCCCCAGATACTTTACCGACCGAAGGTCGATCACGCTTTCCATGTGACAGCTCCTATCGAACTTCCTACTCTTACCCAGCCTTCCACATCGGGACCACTCCTACGAAAGCACTCACCCGCTGGATGTCCGTGAAGACGCCAAAGTCTATATCAAACTAACGCAGGGGATCCGTGACGGTACCCAGCTGTTCTGTTGTTACGTATGGAAGGTTGGTCTGCCAGCGAAAGCAAGCAAACTTTGTCTCGCTGGCTTGTTTCTGTATTTGTGCCGCTTTATCAGGCTAAGGGCAAGCCTCCCCTGAGGGGTTGAAGGCTCATTCGGTCAGGCAGTAGCCGCGATCAAAGCTTTTTGCAGCCGCACTCCCCATTGAAGAGATCTGCTCTGCCGCTATTTGGAGCCGCCAAGCACTTTTATACGCCATTATCAGCTCGATACACATTCACGCAATCGCGGCGAGCTTTGGTCGCATCGTCTTCCAGTGGACAGTGTCCTGCCACCCTGACCAAGTGAGTCTTGGTTTATTGGTTTGTGTTGACGCCCTGTACAATGATTCCATTATTGACATGTCTGCTAACGAAAGCACTCAGAGAACCTGTACCCCTTCGATTCTCTAAGGAGTTACGATATCGTTAGTGAGTGGTATTTTTTTTCCCTCACGGTGCTCTCAATGAAGAAGCCACTTAGTGGGTCGGATTTCACTGACATTCGCACTACGCAATGTCTCATTATGCTAGAGGTCGCCTTTGAGCACAAATCCTCCCTGCCGTCCCTCCCATAATGCCTCTCGCGAAGCTTAAACTGGGTCGAAAGTGACAGGTGAGTGTTATGGCATGCCTGTTCAATTTTTTTCCATGATAATGATCGCTATATTTTGTGTGTGCTTGACAGAATTCCCTCCTCCCTGGCCTCCGGTCTTTGGGAGTCTGTGTTTATGCATAATATGTACCCCAAGGACGACGATCTCTGAAAGAATTTTCCAAACCTGCAGAGGTTTTCAATTCTTTTGAAGAGAGTCGCCCTTGGGTAGGGGCCCACCCACCTCCCCGCAATTCTGTTCACTGATGAGAATTCAGCAGAAGGAATGATGATACGGGTCTAGGAGCCTACCCAGTTGGTGCGCATGCGTTAAGGGAGGTAACTCCGTGAGGTAGGGTCCGTATAATAAGTAAAAGAGTTTATTTATTGTACAATCTTTTTATTCAAAAAACATTGATACAACTGTCACAGGACATTTTACAGCCGGAAAATGCATAATATGTACCCCAAGGACGACTCTCTTCAAAGAATTGAAAACCTCTGCAGGTTTGGAAAAATTTCGAAGTATATTGTGTGTAGATCATTTCTATTATCCAGGCAGTCATTGGGCTGGAATATTGTTAAAACTGGCAAAAACATATTGACTGTTTGCTAAAACTGGACTATCAATCTTCGCATATTCAACTTGATAGCCTTTTCAAGAGGTGCAGTAGGGTAGCCTAGTGGGTAAAGCCATCACTCATCTTGACCCAGTTTCGATTCTCCACATGGTTAAAATATGTGAAGCCCATTTATGGTGTTCTCAAGTTTCACAGCAGTGGGGAAAATAGAAATAGGAAATCTTCTTAACTTTACATCAGAATGAGTGAGTGAGTGAGTTGGGTTTTACACCGCTTTTAGCAATATTCCAGCAATATCACAGTGGGGACACCAGAAATGGGCTTAACACATTGTACCTATGTCGGGAATCATACACGGGCCTTCGACGTGACGAGCGAACGCTTTAACCACTAGGCTACCCCACCGCCCCTCACATCAGAATGAAAATATAGGGTTTATGGTAGTTGTGAAACAAGGAAAGTGTAGTTAATGTTTAATGTATGACATTTTACCTTTAGGGATCTGAGATCAATGATCCTGAGCCATGTGCCAAGACGACTGTGAGTTCTGCAGGCTCCGTCTCCTTTGAGCAGCTGCTAAAGAATCCCCTGGAAGAAGGACAAAGTAAGATTCTGGAACATAGTGACCTCGATGAGGTCGTCAGAGCTAGATGGGTTCCAAACCCATGAAGATCTGAGTTAGAATTGATTTTCAGCAGCCCATGCTTGTCTTAAGTGGCGACTAACAGGATCGGGTGGTCAGGCTCACTGACTTGACCGACAGATGTTATTGTATCCCAATATGCGCAGATCAATGCTGATGACACTGGATTGTATGGTCCAGAATTGATTATTTACAGACCGCTGCCATGCAATTGGAATATTGCTGAGTGCGGCGTTAAACAACAAACAAACAAACAAACAAACGTTACAGTTTGAAATATAGGTACTCTTGTCCGAGACCATCAGATATTTATTGTTTTCAGATGCTAACTTTTACTTTTTGTAAGTCGGTATTTATGGATAATCGACAGAGGAATAATTGATTACACTGTTGCATCATAATTGTCCCAAAAGCGATAGTGTTACAGTCTCCTTGTTTTTCTGTATAACCTTGCCTACCATATATAAGTTCTGTACTAGAATTAAATCATAATGCAATTTTATTCCATAACTGGTTTATAAGATTGGCAGTTTACATCAATACTCATACCATGGACTACAAACTGATATTTTCTCCAGTGATGAAGGTAGAGCCAGGTGTTGATGAAGAAATGCTGAAGACCAGTCTTGTCACAGCCCAGAAGAGGATCGAGCACCTCACGGAGGTAGGAGATGCCATGGCTACAATGGTTACCTAGCAACGTGAAGTCTTGCTATTATTGATCATCTCACCAATAGTTCATGCACTGACTACATTGTTTGCCTAGCAACATGAATTCTAGCTTTGTTTGTTATTGAGCGTCTGACAAATACATACATACATACATACTAACATTTGTATAGCGCCGATATCCAGCTCAGCTTCTCAAAGGCGCTTTGTTTTTCCCTCGTTCATCGCTGGATCCTGGCGCTTTAGCCAGTTAACCACCCAGTGTTTATACTCCTGGGCATACTAGAACACGTCATGGAGTTAAGACATGCAGTGGTTACAATGGTTATGCAGCTGCATGAATTGTAATCTTGCTACTATTTAGCACCCCACCGAGGTTAATGCAGTGATTACATTTATCACTTAGTAACCAGAAGCGTAGTCTTACTGCCATGTTACACTCAAAAGAAAAATATCTGTATGTAATGGGACGATCTTTTGTGTGTTGTTGAGTTGACCGGCGATGATGGTGTATATGTTGTTGCTGCTGCAGCTGCTGAATGACAGCGAGGAGACCGTGAACCTCTACACAGAGCAGGTGAAGATTCTCAAGGAGGAGATCCGCAGACTGGAGCGGAATGAGGAGCGTGAGACTGAGACACGCAATCTGGAGTACCTCAAGAACATCCTGATGAAGGTGAGACAGCAAATAGGCAGGAAGAAGGGAGGGAGGGGACGGAGGGAGGGGTTACCCACCAAGGTGCTGGCTGTAAGAGGAGATAATAAGAACTTGGAGTCAGTATACTCTGAGCTCAGGAGGGAGGTAGGGGCCATTCGTAACTACTCGTCCCTTTCAGTAACCTGAAAGTAGACTCGTACCCCTCTCGTAGCCATGCCAGGGAGAAATATTCCCCCAGCGTATGTAGAGAAGAAATTGAGTCAAAATAGGTCTTTGAAATATTTTTCATTTCAGCTTTGCATAATTTTTTCCCAGACACTTCAAATATATTCTAATTATTGCATAGTCCTCCTGGGTTTCCTGAATTTTTATAACCAGGATATATTAACATTATGCCATAGGAAAGTATTTAAGCATGTTAAACACACCCTTTGAGGTAATTTCCTTGGCGTGGATGCCATGTGTTTTTTCCAAGTAAACTAGAGTTACATGCCCTTGAAAATAGTTCAGTGACTAGACTGTTTCTTTCTCTCTGCTGTTTTGCACTCAGACAGAGCCACGTTCAATAAAATGGCTACGAGAGGGGTGCGAGTCTACTTTCAGGTTACGGAAATGGACAAGTAGTTATGAATGAGGTAGGGGCCTGGCTTCAAGGGGAGATAATAAGGACTCAGTGGGCTACCACTACAAACTTTAAGTCTGGACCAATACAAACACACATGTGCTCACACAGGCACCTTCAATGATGCCACATCAGATGTTTGACCAATATCAACTCACCTTGCAGTTCCTGTCGCTGAAGGTGGGGGATGAGAGACAGCAGCTGGTGCCGGTCCTCACGACCATGTTGAAACTCAGCAAGGAGGAGATGGACAAACTCAACGCCATTGCTCAGGGTATGTCTGGAATCTGTACTGCTGCACGGGATAGAATCCGCAGAAAATATTCAATGATATTTCAGTTTTTGTTGCACATTTATTTTTTAAATGAGCCCCATTCTGGTGTCCTCCACCATGATATTGCTTGAATATTGCTAAAAGTGGCATCAAACCATACCCACTCACTCACTCTTTTAAAACTCTGAAGAACTGTAATTTTTTGTTCAAGCATTTTCTGGGACAATATATTTATTTTTTTAAATTATCCCAGACTCTGCAAACCCAATATCAAAAACACAGTCCTTCACAATAAGTCAGTTGATCAACTTCTCTGATATTTATCGAAAATCAATCAATATTCTGTTAACTATTGTGGATCTGTATTATCTATACCTATTTAGCCCTATTTAGACTGGGTGTGTGTGTGTGTGTGTGTGTTAGCCTAGTGGTTAAAGCATTCGCTCGTCACGCCAAAGACCTGGGTTCAATTCCCCACATGGGTACAATGTGTGCAGCCCATTTCTGGTGTCGTCCCCCCCCCCTGTGATATTGCTGGAATATTGCTAAATGTGGCATAAAACTAAACTCACTCACTCACTCATTTATACTGAGAAGTATTTCAACTGTGGCTCTTCTGTCTTCAGGTGAGGAGGTAGCTGTGGCAGGCCAAGCAAGCAGCAGGATGGGGTCTTGAAGAAGGAATAGTATCTACATGGCTGGTCTGGGCTGAATGTTGAAACACATTTGTAGTCACATGACAGGCCATGTGACTGTCACATGACTTGAAGAAGGAATAGTATTTATTTCAGTGGCCAGGAACTGTCACACTAAACTAGGATTGTCGGTATCAGGGTCCTCTTGTCACATGACTGAATGTTGAAACACATCTACGTTCTTGGAGTGTCACATGACAGACCATGTGACTGTCACATGTTATCAAACAACATGGCTGACTGTATTCAATACCAACATGGAATTTTCACTTGTGCATTGCGCATTATAAACAGTTGTACATATCAGGAATCTGACAAGGTTGTCATTCAAGAAAGCATGTTTCTAAGTGTCTTTGAACAACATTAAGAAGTGAGACACATAAAGTCAAGAATTTATGGATGTCTGTGGGTTATTCTGCCCGTCAGATGAAGACGTTGACATCAGTACATTCATGCCTTTATATAGCTTAGTGTTGAGTTTGTTTGGCCTTTAAACTATACATATGATGTGTGCATACACTGTATGAGCTTGTGTTTGAGAGAAAGTGACCATTCGAGTTGACTGGATCTTGAGTGTGTGTGTGAATTTATGTTCAGAAATTGCATGTGTAGTATATCAGGGTTTCCCATGCATTCTTACAGTAGAAGATAGGGGATGTGTTCTATTGGTTGAATATTCTTACAGTAGAAGATAGGGGATGTTTTCTATTGGTTGAATATTCTTACAGTAGAAGATAGGGGATGTTTTCTATTGGTTGAATATTCTTACAGTAGAAGATAGGGGATGTTTTCTATTGGTTGAATATTCTTACAGTAGAAGATAGGGGATGTTTTCTATTGGTTGAATATTCTTACAGTAGAAGATAGGGGATGTTTTCTATTGGTTGAATATTCTTACAGTAGAAGATAGGGGATGTTTTCTATTGGTTGAATATTCTTTCAGGGGGTGCATGTGATATTTTAAGGAGATATCACATGATATTTTTGAGGGGATATCACATAATATGAGGGGATATCGTGTGATATTTTAAGGTCATGTCACATGATATTTTGAGGGATATCATGATATTTTGAGGGGATATCACCCGATATTTTGAGGGATATTACATGATTTTCTGAGGGATATCACCCGGTATTTTGAGGGGATATCACCTATTTTGAGGAGGAGGAAAGGCTTCCTTGAATCCCTACATTCCACAATTTGCAATCACCTTAGTCCCAACACAAACGGTATTACCAATGGATCATGTTCAAATCTGATGGTGGTCTTTACTGACTAGCACCATTTGTGGGCTGTAATTCTAAACCAGCTCTCAGTGCTCCAGTTTTACTACTATTTGAAACTGAATAAAAATGACACTAATTTCAAACATACTAAATATTTTTGTCTCATTCTCATGACTAATTCAGGACAAGTAAGGCTTACACTGAAAGACACACCTTTCTTTATTATGTCTCTATTTTTGCATTATAGATGAAAATTTGACATCATGGATGAGATTATACAAGGTAGGGAGGGATGTGTGGTAGGAGGGATGCTATTCTTATGGCCATTAATGAGTATTTTATTTGAAATATATGCAAAGAACAGGCAGTCACCATAACCCACAGACTTCAGAACTTCCAATATAATGAAATACCAGGCTACGATTTGGAACCGGAAAAGATGCAACACTTGAAGATCCGTGTTAGAATTGGTCTTCTACGACCCATGCTTGTCGTAAGAGGTGACCAACAGGATCGGGTGGTCAGCCTGCTGACTTGGTTGATACATGTCATTGTATACCAATTTCATAGATCAATGCTCGTGCTGTTGATCACAGGATTGTCTGGTTCAGACTCGATTATTTACAGACTGCCGCTATATGGCTGAAATATTGCTGAGTGTGGCGTTTAACAACAAACAAGGAAACAAACACAGAAGATGTCCTCAGGTCCTGGTTTGATAAACTACAGCTTATTGTTAGAAATATCTCCCACTTATGTAAACTAACAGATGACAAGGACCCATACAAGTCTGAAACTACAAGTCCAATACATGATCCATCAGCCTAGGGGCATGTGCTTGTTTTGAACACTATAGTCTTTCATTGTAGACCCAGATACTTGCACCGATTTGTTTTTTGATAAATTCTATGTAGATGTATATATGTATGTGTTGTATATTTTATCACCATGTAGAAACATTACTCTGGGGTTAAATGTCTTCATGTGATTCGAGGTTGACCGTCCGATATTGTTGATGTGTTTAATTTCTGTGTAGATAGATGTCTGTCTGTCCATGTGAGGGAGAGATTAGGACTTGTGTGGGAGGGGTACTGAATGAGGGGAGATTGTTGGTGTAGTATGCTCACTACTGAAGGGTTAGGGATGGTTGGGTAGCCAGCGGTTATAGTGTTTACTTGTCTCAATGAAGACCTGGGTTTGATTCCCCATTTGGACAAATACATGAAGCAGATTTCTGGTGTCACTTGCCATGATATTGCTGGAATGTTGTTAAAAGATTTAAAACAGCTCATCTACAGTAAAAGGGTTACTATGGATATTGCCATGTGTAACACATGTATCACCATGGTGTTGGGAGGATAACTATCACCTCAGTGTCTGGAGGATATATATCATGGCAGTGTCAGAGGACATGAATCTTGGCAGTGTCAGAGGACGTGTTTCATGGGGATGGCCGTTTCATTTGGAAGGCTGTGTGTCACTGCAGTGTCAGAAGGCATTTCACCTGTGTCAGGATGAAATGTTTCACCACAGTGTCAAGGAGCCTTGAAGGGTAATTTATACTGTGTGTGATCTGTGATGTATAGATTGAACAGTGGTCCATGAAATCAGTTGCAATTTATTTTGTGAATAGTTTAATTCATTGTCTTAGTTTCAGAGAGCAATTATGCATATCTTTAACCAAACATTCTTGTGTGTGGCTCTATACATATATGTCTGTGTGGACGGACTCAAAAACAACCATATTATGTAAATAATGTTCATCATAATCATGCCAGTGATGAAGATAATCGTCAACTATGTGGCCTTTGTGTAACAATACATATACTGAGGGAAACAAATAAGGTAACACCACTTCATAGGAGTGATCCTTTATTTATTCTCAGATGTCCTCCCACAGCGCTATTCAAAGCTGGTGCTGAAAACTGGAAAATATTATAGGAACGCTTGAATTTTCCTGTGTTCGTTTATTTGTTTCTCTCAGTATATATTAACCATGTATGTGATTTTATGTTATCTGTTGTAGCATTCAAATTCTTTATTTTGTTATTTTAATCTTTAAAACTACCGCACCATTTGATAATCAAGGAAGTGGTCTGGCTTTCACCCACTTTCAGGTTACACCTCATGATACGACTAGACTACAGTTCAAATAGCCTCAAACCCAGCTCAGTCAGGAAGTGTTGACTGGGAATTGACTTGGAGAGACAGAATATTGATTTAGTCAGCACTTACAAACACAACAATACATGCGCATTCAAAATTATAATTCTCTGAAAAATTGAGCTAAAATTGTTTTGGGGACCATGTCAAAGTACATTTTGAACCATTTAGTATGAAGACAGTGGATATGTTTTTAGCCTTTTAAGGCACAGAATAATTTTGGGGGAAAATAGTTTCAGATTTCCAGTGATTATCAGGTGGTCAGCCTCTTGGACCATGATCCAGGTGTGATCCAGGGCAAGTTGGTTCAGGGTTATGTTGATGTGTTCAATTGTGTCCTCAGAGGACCAACAAGTTCTGACTCCTTGCGATCATAAAGGTTTGGTTGTAATCATTCAGAACCATTGGCGGTGGATGTTTTAGTTCCAGGGTTTGTTTCCATAACACAGATGTTGGTTGATTCCATATATGGGTACATTATGAGAAGAGCATGCTTGGTGTCAAAGACCAAAATTTGCTGGAGTATCGCTTAATTGAGTTTATTCACTCTGTAAGTTTGGGTCTTTTCATCTTCAGTTATTTTAAACATTTTTCCTTTTGGTGGAGGAAGCAGAGTTGTGTTCCTCGGAAGCAGGGACCTGTGTTTGCTTTGAATCAGGGTTCACCGCGATTGTTTCTGGGTTGGTTGGCGCTGTTCTCATGCTGGTAGGTTCCACCAGAGCCGAGACCTCGATCACTGTCCTTCCACATGAAGCTGACCTGCTGTGATGTAACTGGTCTATTGTTAACAGCTGAGAGTCACTCATACACACACTCACTCATACACTCACTCACTCACTCACTCACTCACTCACTCACTCACTCACACACTCACTCACACACTTACTCACTCACCCATCCACACTCTCACATTTCCTTATACTGATCTATCTCATATACAAGAAATGTGACATTTTAAGGAGACAAAGTATGGGATGCATTATAAACGTCCACCGTCTGCCAACTAAGGTTTGTATCAAGGGTGAATAGTGGTACTCTGGTTGTAATTACAGTAAATAACAGTAAAGTAAAACAATCTATTTGTCGGTGTACTGGTCAGGGTGGTAACTGAGCACCTATCCATGTGTTGACAAAGTTGGAAAGAATTGTTCAGAGCCAGAATGTTTTTAAATATGTAGTCTCTAAAATACATTTTCATTATAGTTTGAGTTTGGATAATATTATTTGCTTAAAGTATATGTTTTAAGTATGAAAACATCTTGTATATTCTGATGCAACATTTGGATAAAGATGTTTGCCCGATGCTAAGCAGAAATTGAAAGCTTACAAAATATGTAACAGGCGATTACAAACATAAAAAAGATTACAAGTTGACAGGAATATCTTCTAATAACAATGCATTAGAATGTAGAAGTTTTTCATGAGCAAACATTTTTTACAGCCACAAACTTATGTGTAGGCAACTGAATTTTTGTCCATATAGCAGTTTTGCCCCTTACGATTTGACCGACAAGAATGTAAACACTATTGAAGGGAATTCAGTTCAAATCTGCATGAGTAACAAAATCATGGATAAAACTGTGACAGTTGAGTTTACATGAAGCTAGAACTCATTGTATTTTTCCTGCTGCCAGCTTGTGTATGTTTAATGTGTCAGACAGTATTTCTGTGATATTTCATATTCAGGACTCATCAGCATAGAGATCTTAGGTATATTGTGTCTTTCTACATTTTAAATACATTATAACTATAATTTTAAATATCTTAACTTTTGATGGGGGTACTAGAACTATGTATCTACACTCAACCAAAAAAGTTAAGGATCACCATGACTTTCCGTAATAAAGTATTTAATAGTTCATATTACGATCCATAGAATACTTAAATATTGGATATTGGTGTGGTCCTTAACGATTTTTGTTGAGTATATTTTGAAAATTTGTGGGCAAAGTATTATCAAGTCATGTACTTTTATTTAACTAACTTTAAATAAAGCAAAACATGATTCAGTTCCTCTTGAGTATCAGATACTATTAGCATGAAAATATATCTCAATAAATCTTATTCAGCCTTGTCAATGCAAAGGTATCCTTAAACTGTACTGGCTACTTGTAATTCTATCACAGGCTTGTCTGGCCAATACATGGGGTTCAGGGGGTTGAACCCCTTGAAAATGTCTGGCAGAGCCAATACATGATTGTTTATGGATCAAATTCCTGTCCGCCCATGGTGTGGCTAACATGCTGCTGACTGTAGCAGTAGACACCAAACAAGGGAAACACTGAACCAGTGTTTGAAGAGGAAAAAAATCAAGCTCATTTGCTGAGAGTAGAGCCAATCCATGTCTGTTGATTTGACAATACAAAACACAATATGACGTGTCAAATGTTTTTCAGGTGGAACAAGCCTTGTGTGGTTGCATGTACATAAATGTCCTGTTGCTTCATTGAGGTAATATTGTTGTATGATGTTGTATTGTGTTGAGGTTTAGAATATTGTCATCAGAAGATCTATTTTCTGGGCTATTTTTGTTATGAGATTGATGGTGTGAATGTTTAAACTTCCTTGGGAATAAATAAATTGTTAAGAGGCTGTGTCTATTGTTCTCTGTTTACCAACAGTGTGTTCATAGTTCGCTGTCCATCAATAGTGTGTCCATTGTTCTGTATTCTCCGAACAGTGTGTCTATTGTTCTCTGACCATCCCTGGCCTCCCAGGTTATGTGTCTATTGTTCTCCACCCATCCTCTAGTCAGACACACCTGATGCCAGTACAGTAGAGTCTTGTGTCCATTGTTCTACGCCCATCCCTGGCCTCCCAGGTTATGTGTCTATTGTTCTCCATCCATCCTCTAGTCAGACACAACTGATGCCAGTACAGTAGAGTCTGTGTCCATTGTTCTATGTCCAGGAACAGTTCCATTTTGTTCCATTGTTCCCAGTCCACCAACAGGGTGTCCATTGTTCCCAGTCCACCAACAGTGTGTCCATTGTTCCCAGTCCACCAACAGTGTATCCATTGTTCCCAGTCCACCAACAGTGTATCCATTGTTCCCAGTCCACCAACAGCGTGTCCATTGTTCCCAGTCCACCAACAGCGTGTCCATTGTTCCGAGTCCACCAACAGTGTATCCATTGTTCCCAGTCCACCAACAGTGTATCCATTGTTCCCAGTCCACCAACAGTGTATCCATTGTTCCCAGTCCACCAACAGCGTGTCCATTGTTCCCAGTCCACCAACAGCGTGTCCATTGTTCGGAGTCCACCAACAGCGTATCCATTGTTCCCAGTCCACCAACAGTGTGTCCATTGTTCCCAGTCCACCAACAGTGTGTCCATTGTTCCCAGTCCACCAACAGTGTGTCCATTGTTCCCAGTCCACCAACAGTGTGTCCATTGTTCCCAGTCCACCAACAGTGTGTCCATTGTTCCCAGTCCACCAACAGTGTGTCCATTGTTCCCAGCAGTCCACCAACAGTGTGTCCATTGTTCAAGCAGTCCACCAACAGTGTGTCCATTGTTCCCAGTCCACCAACAGTGTGTCCATTGTTCCCAGTCCACCAACAGTGTGTCCATTGTTCCCAGTCCACCAACAGTGTGTCCATTGTTCCCAGTCCACCAACAGTGTGTCCATTGTTCCCAGTCCACCAACATTGTATCCATTGTTCCCAGTCCACCAACAGTGTGTCCATTGTTCCCAGTCCACCAACAGTGTGTCCATTGTTCCCAGTCCACCAACAGCGTGTCCATTGTTCCCAGTCCACCAACAGCGTATCCATTGTTCCCAGTCCACCAATAATGTATCCATTGTTCCCAGTCCACCAACATTGTATCCATTGTTCCCAGTCCACCAACAGTGTATCCATTGTCCCTGTCCACCAACAGTATGTCCATTGTTCCCAGTCCACCAACGTGTCCATTGTTCCAAGTCCACCAACAGTGTGTCCATTGTTCAATGGGGTCCCAGTTTATGTGTCTATTGTTACCAGCAGTCGCCACCAGACGTCAGTTATGCTGTGACGTCACCACCAGACGTCATATTTCCTGTGAGATCGTCACCAGACGTCAAATATGCTGTGCGGTCGTCACCAGACGCCAGATATGCTTTGCAGTCGTCACCAGACGTCATATATGCTGTGCAGTCGTCACCAGACGTCATATATGCTTTGCAGTCGTCACCAGACGTCATATATGCTGTGCAGTCGTCACCAGACGTCATATATGCTTTGCGGTCGTCACCAGACGTCAAATATGCTGTGCGGTCGTCACCAGACGCCATATATGCTTTGCAGTCGTCACCAGACGTCATATATGCTGTGAGGTCGCAACCACGGCTTATCTTTTTCCCTGAGGAGCATTTCCCCCTAACCTTTGGACTTCATGATTTATGTGCACCCCCAACCCCCTTCTCCAAAATCCTGGATCCGCCCCTGTTGCTGGAATATTTCTGATCAATAGTGAGCAGCGTTTTGCAGCTTTACCAGCACACTCCACAGATTGTGGCCACCTAGAAGTCTACATGTATGGATGTGGTAGACGATGAGTGACCCTGTCTCTTCTGCCGCCGCAATATGACTGGAATACTGTTCAAACTGACTCATTTGAAGGGGTTTGTTAGCATCATGTCATTAAGCGGCCAGACACTCTCTTGATCAGTTGTGTAATTCCACGTAAGGGAAAGAGGCAAGCTGTGGGGGAGGAACCATCGTCGTTGGACCGTCGCTTACATCATTTCAAAAGGAGAGTTATCGCCCCTCGCAACTAAAAGATCGCCCATTAGGGATTAATCCGTGCCATTCAAGGACAAGAAGATAACGGAAAGATGCGGGCAAGAAGTAGCCCAGAAACGTTGTGATATACAATAAACAAGAAGTTGCCATCAATATACTCGTCTTATATATTCACCAACTTCCAAATGCCTCTCAAGAATCTCGAAAAGATGCGGGGTTGGACAAATCCACATTTCGCAGCCGGGCGTGATACATGTTTGTTAGGTCGTTAACATACGTCATATATGTTGTGAGGTCGTCACCAGACGTGATACATGTTTGTTAGGCGGTTAATATACGTCATATATGTTTTGAAGTCGTTGCCAGACGTGATATGTGCTGTGACGTCGTCACCAGACGTCATATATGCTGTGAAGTCGCCACCAGACGCCACCATATATGAAATCGCTACCATTCGTGCGATTCCTCAGGAAACGTTATGATTAACCACGTGAAACTTGAGAATCTAGTCCTAATATGGATTTCAACCAATGGTAGCCTGACGACTCTGAGTGATTAGATTATGACCAATGTTTTGTCATATTCTGAGAATCATCCCTGGACGGCTTATGAGAGAACATTTTGTTACTATGCTGAAAACATCTCAAAACATACTTTGACCTCAACAAATACTTTCAATAACATTTTAATGTTTATTCAAATGACATGTGTAAACATAAGGCACAGACCTTTTCATAAAGCACTGGCATTGTTACGGAATTTTGTTCTAAATATGGAACAAAAATAACTTTGTGTACAATATATGCAGTCGACAAAATATGTTCGTAATGCTGGTCTCTTGACTGGATCATAGAGTGAAGCGTCGTTAATCCATAACGTTAAGATCGGATAAACGAGGCATCAAAGGTATCCCTGATGAAAGTTGTTTTTTATGAGCCTTTTTCTTGACTAATCTGTTATAAGTTGACAAATGATATATTTATTAACTCTATCTACCCAGAAACACTGTTTTACCTACAACCTCCCGAAGCAAGGGAGGTAACTGGAAATGAACGTCCAGTTTTAACCCTAACAAAACAAGTTTGGAATATTCTGGCAGGAATAACGAGTCTCTACGTAGTCAAATGAAAATCGGAATCGACATCCATAAACAATATGGCGACTGTCGGGCAATTTCGTTAGACTGCAGCTTTTGCAAAACACTCTGTATTGTCAAATAGTCCGCAACACACATTTTTCTTGTCTCCACTTCGCGAGGCCAGACACATTTTATAACAAAATAGATCTTGATTAATATATATCAGTCGGCCATGGATTATGGCATTCTGTTTGAAGCACATTCTAGATGGAATTTGATTGGTCAATGACATAGAAAGTGCATACCAGCGAGTAACTCGCAATAGCCACTGGTGCCGCTGCGATCGATTCACGAAACCCCAGTCTAATTTGGCAAGTGGAAACGGGACGTTTACTCAGTTAATTCCCATGACTCGAGAAGATGCTTTATATATTGACAAGAAGGTTGTCTGTTATAGCATTCAATAGCACGCTCTGTGGCAAAGCACTTCGTCAACGTGTACAATAAGTCACGTAATTATGTTAGGACGAAAATAAATAAATATCATAACCATTAAAGAACAAGAATTCTTCCATTCATAGAACTGTGTACATGTCCATAAACAAAACACAAGCGACATGTCTCTCACACATGACTTTGTCCTTGACCCGAATGCAGATAGTCAAGGTAATCACGGGTTTCAGTGTTTAAACGGGGACACTTGAGTTACTATGGCGTCTAAATGATGTATTTGTTTCTTATATAAAGAATCAGATCTGAATGTCAGCAGCACTGACATCACCGGACATGTTATTTCACTCGATAATCTCATATTAAGAATAAATGTGCTAATTTCTCAAAGGTTCCCCCTTCAGCTAGATATTATCCGTGAACGTCAAAACCTTTTCATTTTTGACTGGAAGAGTACAACGTCCGTTGAACGCCAAGGATGTCCAAAACATAAAAATTCTTAAATTATCTTGGAAAGACAAATGCAAATCAGCCGTCACACAACAGAAGAAAAGAACGGAAGAAGATTTTGCAGTGTACCCATTTGACAGATATTCACAGCTTGCGTTCGGGGCTTTACGTTTATACAGTAGGTATAACGAATAAACAAAAGCGTTATTTCAATGGTGGTCAGTTGTCACTTGCTAGTGACGTAACAGAGTCACGTGATCCCAGCAAGCCCCTCAGCCCCTCTTGTATCTCCAGTTCCGGCATCACAATTGCCACGCGCCTCGGATTAGGCGGCGCCATCTTGGATATGGCGTCAATGTCTTGCGTCACAGCAGCTCCACGACGTCGCCCGGTACGTCTTCGAAGCATTAAGAGGACATCGTCTGCAATTTCAATGACCTTGAATTACAACATGAACGGTAATGCTGTTGACCCACCCTCGTCTAGTTTCGGAGAACGTATAGAAGTTGCAATCTATCAATATTTACCCAATTACTACAAAACTCAAGACCTTTACCTATATTTATCGATGACATAGAATCTTACGATTACAGAAATCGCTTCAGCTTCTGTGGACATATTGAACTTGCGGTTCAAATAACATTTGACAAATTATTACGTAAATCCAGACCTTTACGTTACGCACGGATGATAAAAATTACCTTAATGGCGTGATACTGGAATTATATTTACATGCGTGACATGAAAAAATTAACATCTGTTACGCTATTCGTGGTTATATAGATGATATACACCTGCACAATGAAATTGATACATGACACGTTTACTGTAATTACAAAATCCTTTGGGGTAAGTGATCTTCCTTCAGATACAATTAGGCGTGTCGCCTAAATTAGCGCTGTCAGCTAAACAGGTAATGCTGAAAGACAAAGATTTATAACAGGTGAAATTTTTTTTTATAAACCCAGGACCAGAAACCTTGACGATCCATAGCAGGTTCTACTGGGCCACCCGTACCCACGTGTTGGACTGACTGACTGAATTTGGTTTTACGCCGCTTTAAGCAATATTCCAGCAACATCACGGCGGGGGACACCGGAAATGGGCTTCACAAATTGTACCCATGTGGAGATTCGAACCCGGGTCTTCGGCGTGACGAGCCAACGCTTTAACCACTAGGCTAAACACCTCCCCCACCCCCACCCCCCCCACGTGTTGGATACAAGCATCAACTCAATGTCGACTATCCACATACCCTCATTTTAACTATCAAACCGAACCCATCCACCATCACACATCACCCACCCACAATGTCCAGCTGTCCAAGCGGTTGCTAACCCTCTCCTATAACCAGCCACCCCCAGACCACAAGGCGTGTCTTCAATACGATCTCACATCCGTCCTTCCCAATAAAAGTCCCAGTTTAATATTTAATCTTATTATATCACGTTTGCCCACCTGTTATAAAAGTCACCTTATGTAATTCTTTCCCATGTCATATTACCAGAATGTCTTCCCTATCTCACATGTGACCACCTTTTACCATTCTTTTCCAAAGTATGCTTCCTTTTAATAGTTTAGACTCACTTAAACACTCACTATATGATTGATTGATTTCTCCACTAACTTGGGGGAACCAACTGCAAACCTTATGCAGATGAATTGCACGAGGATCATGTATCAAATTGTTGAAAAGTATGTGCAAATATCGTGAATGTTAACAGCTGCGTTTGGGTGTAAAGTTTCGTCAAGAATTCGCCAATTTTCACAGATTTTTATCATTTATTGAACTCATGACAAAAATCTTTTCAACGTTAAGAATTTGCTTTACAATTCATCAGTTCATGTGTAAACAGTATCTTTAAACAGTATGGAATGTTTTCAAAATTTAGTTTAGAACAGTTGCCTGAAGTAAGTGGCTATATTTACACTAGTGAAGCTAAACTTTTGAAAGGAAGTATATATAATGAGTGAGTGAGTGAGTTAATATTTAACGTCACATCGGCAATATCTCAGCCATATCGTGACGAAAACTGGAAGTATATATAACCACCTTACTGGCCCTCATCTACTATATAACCACACTATATCACACACACTAACATCTGTTACATGATACCATTATATCTCTCTCACACACACACTTTATACAACACATCTACTATATAACCACACTATATCACACACACTAACATCTGTTACATGATACCATTATATCTCTCTCACACACACACTTTATACAACACATCTACTATATAACCACACTATATCACACACACTAACATCTTTTACATGATACCATTATATCTCTCTCACACACACGTTATACAACACATCTACTATATAACCACACTATATCACACACACTAACATCTTTTACATGACACCATTATATCTCTCTCACACACACACGTTATACAACACATTTGCTATATAACCACACTATATCACACACAACACATCTTTTACATGATACCATTATATATCACACACACACGTTATACACACATCTACTATATCACACACACTAACATCTTTTACATGATACCATTATATCTCTCTCACACACACGTTATACAACACATCTACTATATAACCACACTATATCACACACACTAACATCTGTTACATGACACCATTATATATCTCTCACACACACACGTTATACAACACATTTGCTATATAACCACATTATCGAACACACACTCCCATGTGTTATATAACCATATTATATCACACACACACGTTATACACCATGTCACACACATATGCTATATAACCACATTATCGAACACACCCTCCCATCTGTCATATAACCATATTATGTCACATACTTCTGGTATATAACCTTGTTATATCACACACATCTGCTATAAAACCAAATTACATCAAACCCACTCTTGTTACATAACACATTATGTCACATATATATGCTATATGACCTCATTCTATAACACACGCCCAACTATGTGTTCTATAGTAACGACATTGCATCACGCTTACCTATCTGTTAGCCATCTACCTGATCTACCCACGCAGAGACCGGTATATGGCCTCTGACTCGCGTTATTACGTTCTATAATTCCAGAAGTGCGAAAGACTTGCCATGCACAGAGGTAGAAGCGTTTACACATGCTGTATTGCGTTACAGAAGGGAACAGAGGTCTCCCAGATGTAGTCGAGAAGCGTTGACACATGCTGTATTGCGTTACAGAAGGGAACAGAGGTCTCCCAGATGTAGTCGAGAAAGATGTCGAGAAGGCATGCACTGATTGAGCGATATTGCATATAGACAGAAATACAAGACCATCATTGTATCAATAATCTACCAATAGAAACCAGCCGATGGCATTCTATTCCAAAAGAAGAAATATTATGTGAACTGCGTAACGCTAACGTTGTTGGAGATGAGTTTCACTTTCTCTTTAGACACATATATATGATCTCCAAAAACATTCAATGTTAAAGAAAATATTATGAAATAAAACCACTAAGCATTTAAAGAACTTAAATTCATTTCTGACTGTATTGTTTAAATTGCTTAAGTAATATTCAAATGATCTTGTTCAATCACTTGCCATGTACATATCTGTTTATTGATGTGCATATATATATTCTCATGTAACCCCGTTGGTTGGTTGAGAAATAAACTGTTCTGCCTGCCTGCCTGTCTGTCTGTCAACACATCACGGCCTCGCTTACACCACGCCCCTCACTCACCCGTGAATACCTACGGTCGTGGTTGGGATGTGTTTTCATAACTCTTGGCAGGCAAATGAGCAAGAGTCTTCACCGGAACCTTCTGTTGACTGCTATTTGCGGAGTCGACAGTGAACCAAATCGTCACCATTCGCATGTTTCCGTAACCTTCAACAAGGCTTATCCCGGAATTGTCCGAGTGGTCACGATGTCGCGTTGTAAATTAAGGAATGCAAAATGGACGCCCATTGCACATCTCACCTGTGGCTGAAAGCATGCGGTGACCTGATTCGCAGGTTCAAATAACACATCCGGGAATTCACGGGTGACTGAGTCAGGAAGTATGGACAAATCTCTGAAGTATTGACGATGTATGGTCGTATCTGGCAGTATGTCATGCTCATTTGTTTAAATTGAGTGAGTTGAGTTGAGTTTTACGCCGCACTCAGCAATATTCCAGCTATATGGAGGCGGTCAGTAAATAATTGAGTTTTGGGCCAGACAACACTGTGATCAACAGCATGAGCATCGATCTACGCAGTTGGGATACGATGACTTGTGTCAACCAAGTCAGCGAGCCTGACCACCCGATCATGTTAGTTGCCTCTTACCACAACCATGGGTTGCTGAAGACCGATTCTTCCAAGCAATAGGGTACCTTCAGTCTCCACTTCGACACTTGGGAAATTCCCATGAATCAAAGGAGGGTCGAATGTGTGTACCGAATACGATTTATCTACGGGTGCCTCGCTGCAGAGTCCCGAATACCCTGTAAGCAGATTCCTAAATGCCAGGTACAAAAAGAGGCTGGCAACCTCACCATGAGTACAGACAAGTATGGCATAGAGATGATCAGCATCAGTATAGTCGTGACGTCATTCAGGGGACCATATGTCGGAGTTCACATTTCAATAGGCTTCATCTCCAACAGATATCTGTCATCCTAAAGGTCCACGATAATATGGTGCAGCCGTCATTATATTCCATTCGGACCTGCTCGTTTACTGTTTTGATCATAAACCAGACATGTTGATCTAAATGATTCGCTGGCTCATCCGACTAACTTATTTGAAAGTAACTGTAAAGAGAGTCAACAGATTTGATTTTGACGAGGGTTTTTTATAATTGATATTTACACGGGTAATATGTTTTACAGTTGTGTAAAAGTGCTCTATAAGAACTGAACAGTTCACTAAAACATCGATCAGAAAGAAGAATGTTGTGAAGACTGTAATGTCGACAATATTTGTAACAGGTGCGCAGGATGATGGACCATCACTTAGCACGGTAACGAATATAAACAGAAGGAGCATTCGGTACGTCTAGCTCATTTAACAAACAATTTCAGAATTTATTTAATTTAAGAATTTAAGTATCAGATAAAGAAACGACACAAGAGAGGATTTCATATCAATTCACAACAGGAATCTAACGAAGAAATTGGTGAAGATGACTGGACCGTGGTAACTGTTACTGTAGTGACGGAGATAACGGGACCGCGGGAATATCCATGGTAACCCTTTCTGGGTGAAAACTGAACCATGTTAAACGTTACTGTGGTGATAGGGACAATATGAATATGAACTTCAAGGTAACCATTCCTGTGAGATAACGTTACCATGGTTACCGTTGCTATGGTGATATATGCAACAAGAGTTCGGGTAGCTATATTGTAACAATGTCGTATGAGAAAGCAGTTTTGGAGATAACGGTACCAGGTTACCTGTTACCATAGTGATGGAGATAACAGGACCTAGGGGAGCTTCATGACAGCCATTCCTGTGAGATAAGTGGGTAGGAGATAACGAGAAGTTTGAACACGGCAATAAAGAAGTCGATGGGGATAAAGATGACATCGCTTTGCCGAAATCAGACAGATTCTATCATACGGTCCACGAGATAATCTAGAGATCCTACAGAGGGGGAATCTAATATGGCCGCCAGGGGCCAAGAGATGAGATCAACTAACAGATTCACCTGTTTGGGTAAATAATACATTAACAGCCCTGAAAGAAAATGTAACAGGTATTAGTAACGAATAAAGTAAATAAGAAACAAGCCACATCTATAAAAAGTTAAATTAATAAGCAAACCATATCATTAATATAAACCAAGATGAAACACGTGTTTGAGCAGTGCATCACACAAACTTGTGTCAGTTGACGTCATGATGACGTCACACATGCAACCTTGACCTTACTCACGCTGATGAGGTCATTCGACTCAGATTGCAATTTTTGAGCAAGGCGTCTGCGTCTAATTTCATTAATGATGAGAACTGAAATAAAGTATCGTTAACTATTATTTCTAGTAACGTAAAACAAAACCTCTATACTAGTCCCTTGTATTGTTAGTGAGTGAATGAATTTGGCTTAACGCCTGTTTTAACAGTATTTCAGTCACGTGACAGCGTGTCTTAGATATTTATAAGTTTGCTCTTGACACACCAAAAATATGATTTCAAATTTAAAAAATCCAAAGAAATATTTCACAACAGAATAGGTTCCAAGTACCCGAAGGAACGTGACTAATACCTTAAAGGGGATTTTGGTTGGCTCAGATTCAATTACTTACATGCTATGTTAACAACTGCACCAACACTAAAATTAATGACGAGTAACTTAATATTAACTTCTCGTTGAGTCCGACTTCGCATTGACGACGGCGGTCCAGTTTGAACCTCAGTATAATACAACAGTCCATATAACTGATCGATTTTCCCTACAATCATTTTAAACCTTCTATGAATATTGTTTTAAAAACACACGAAAAGTGAAAACGAAAGGGGTTTGGCAATGTGATAAAAGAAAAAATAATCTCGTTGACTTTGATTTGTTTAACGAAGCCTTGATATGATACGTATTGACGTAGCTTGGATACGATACGTATTGACGTAGCTTGGATACGAAACGTATTGACGTAGCTTGGATACGATACGTATTGACGTAGCATGGATACGAAAAATAATCTCGCTGACTTTGATTTGTTTAGCCTTGATACGATACGTATTGACGTAGCCTGGGTACGATACGATACGTCTTAACGTAGCCTTGATGTCGTCTTAACGTAGCCTTGATGTCACTCGTCTTAACGTAGTTTGGATAAGTAACTTCGTTTTAATAGTATACGTCTTACGTATCCTGAATACCGTATGTTTAATGTAGCTTGGATTTCATACACTTTGAGTGAGTTTTACGCCGCTTATATCAATATTCCAGCTATATCACGACGGGGGACACCGGAAATGGGCTTCACACATTGTACCCATGTATGGAATGGAACCTGGGTCCTCGGTGTGGCGAGCTAACGCTTTAACCATTAGGCTACCCCACCGCCCCTCATACAATTTGAAGTTTGGATAGCATTGTCATACCGTAGCCTGAATATCATACGTCTTACATATCATGCTTGACGATGGTAAAGATAGGTGCCAAACTATCTGTGTCTGGTCCAGTCTTAATTATTTACAGAATTCTTGCTGAGTGAACTAATCAACAGAATCTACAATTTAACATATAAAAAGCTATCGCAAAATTATTATTATCATTAGCCTTCTAAAATCTGAAGTACTGATGTTAGTTCTGATGTGACTAGGTCAGTCTAGCTACACGTCACGTGACCTAGTACTCACACTCTCCGATGACGTATCGTTGTCGTCATCGTCCTCATCGTTGTTAAGTATTTCACTAAATACGTTTATGACCTCAAAGGTCATTTCAAGGTGATAAGCAGTCCCTGTAAAGGTCAAATTGTAACTCAAACACGTTAAAAACAATAAGAGGAAAATGCATTTATCACCTTTCCAATAACCAAATTCAAGAAACATGCAGCAGTAAAACTCTAAAAGTTTTAGATATTTAAAACAAAAAATGAAAATAACAATAAAAAATATGTCACACATTGTTATCATTGAAAATAAAAATGTATTATTCAAAATTTGCCGTAGATTAGAATTAAAGTACTCGAACATATACCAATGTTGCTTCAGTACCACGTGACTAAGATGTCCTGTAAACAAAGTGTGCATCACCGTTAACTCATACAATCACTCCAGATAAAGGGAGGTAATATATGCATGACATCTCGTGTATCATGAGGAACACGACGTTTCGGAGTGTAGTCTTAACCTTAATCACCTTATGAAGGAATAAGAACTCACTGCAAAACGTTCCTCAGAAGACAGAAGCTGACATCCATAAGTGTTCCCCCATTGTACGTAATACTTGCCATTCAAATGCCATTCAAAGACTGTTGACAGCCCTTCATTCTATTCATAGACAAGTGCGCCGAATGCTCAGAATCAAACTACATTTGACAGCCCTTCATTCTATTCATAGACAATGGCGCCGAACATTAACAATCAAACTAGATTTGACAATCCTAAATTCTCTTTATAGACAATGGCGCCGAACGCTTACAATCAAACTAAAGTTGACAACTCTAAATTCTCTTTATAGACAATGGCGCCGAACACTAACAATCAAACTAAAGTTGACAACCCTTAATTCTTTTCATAGACAATGGCGCCAAACGCTAAGAATCAAACTAGAGTTGACAACCCTTAATTCTATTCATAGACAATGGCGCCAAACGCTTAGAATCAAACCAGAGTTGACAACCCTTAATTCTATTCATAGACAATGGCGCCAAACGCTTAGAATCAAACCAGAGGTGACAACCCTTAATTCTATTCAAAGACAATGGCGCCAAACGCTTAGAATCAAACCAGAGGTGACAACTTTGACTGACTATTTGGGGGGGTTTCAAGTTAAAGGTTTCTGCTTTCTTTAGAATCCAAGAATCCATTCTTACGTTTCCATGGCGACATCTATACTGGCTCCTAAAAGATCGTCTGTGCAAAAGTATCCACCCTTCAAGTGAATTGTTATTTTAAATAAATTTCGAATTTTGAATCCACTTTATTCAGCGTAAATTGCTATGAACGAGATCTTCCGCACTATCGTTTACCTAAACAAGCAACAGAATACAAACCTCGTTTCTTCTCGCGAGGCTGCACGATAAGTGATGTGTCAACTTGCTGGCCGCAGACCTCGCACGGCTTTGTGGGAAGACTCTGTGTATCCTTGGGCGTGAGCCATTCCCCCATGAATGACGGTTCGTTGCACATTGGACACTCCACCAGACGTTCAACCCACACTCCTGCCGGATATTAAATAATGAGTTTGGTTTAACGTAGTTTGTCTCACAGTCCATGAACCATATTATTTTCTCTACTGGGTAGCCCTTCCTGCAATAGCCGTAAATGAAGCAAGTCTAGATTTCCTTGGTTCAGAATCTCCCATCTCAATGGGGCTCCTTTTCAATTTAAATGGGATTATTTGTTTCTATTAAAATTATGTATATTCAGAGACTAAGCGTTAGTCTAGGTTTAACGCTGCTTTGAATCGTGTTCAGTTATATGACTGAACGATCGTTCAGTGATGTTACTGGGATTTCTAACTTATAATCCAGATCCTCAATATCCAAGGGACGCAACTCCGAAGAACTAACTTTGGCGCCAGAGACGATGTGGCAATAATCTACATAATAGAGCATTGAACTTAGATCGACGTTTCTGTGCAGATTCTTACACAATTATTAAGCTAAATGTCACTTCTTGTTGTTATACATCTTGTTTATTATCCATAACGTTGTATGCTTCATTATTGACTCACCAACGTCTAGAATGCCGATCAAACAATTTATAATATACATAATTCATCTGCAAAAACGTATTTAATACACATAACGTAAATCTGTTTTCGAACCCCTTTCTATGACATATTATGTTTTCGTTTGTCCTTCCTTCCCGTGTTTTATCCTTTCACGCTCTACTTTCTGGATCCCAGGGAAGAATAATTCCTTAGGACCCCACGTTGTTCATTAAACCCCACTTGTCAAGATTGGTTATATTTATTGTGAAACCGACTCATTGTAACCAGCTGTTGCTCAAAATATCAACCACTGATTATGCCCTAGTGGATGGAATATCTTTAGTGAAACAACACTTATTCTCTAGGTTCTGCGTAGTTCACTTACCCAGGTAGCTCTTGATGATTTCTTCAAAGTCCAGTATGAGGGGCAAGAGCGTGTTCCACATGGTGGAGGCGGGCACCTGGTCCTCTCCGGAACTGTCGTCTCGGACCTCGAACCTCAGCACCACCCCGTCTCCCTCCGCTCGGGACTGACAGTACATAATCAACACCCGCATGGAATGAACTTTGTGTAGAGCGTGTATCCCTCCGCCCCAATGTGACAAAAAATTCAGTTTATGTTTTTCTCTGTGTGCTCGCACACAAAGCAGTTCGAACATACCTGGGGGCATATAGCGCGGGAACTGGAATAGCACTGCCACCTTCCTTCTGTTAGCAATACCTTCCCATTGTTCTCGTAGCTCGCTGGGCTCACCGGACTTCCTGAACCAAGGAATCAGAAGCTTGGATATCCGGACCTTACCTTCCTCGTCCGGTTCACACACTAAGGAATAGGTCTTCTCGGTGGATCCTTTACTCACAGGGTAACCGATTTCTAACGCTTCAGTCAATAGGTGCAGGACTTGGTTGAAGCTTGCAATGAAGTTGTTCGGGAGGTGGTACAACAGCGCCCCTTTGAGGAAGTCCCTATCAACAACCCCTTCAGTTAAGACCTCCTGTTTAAGCCGTTCGAACCTCACAGGACTGATACCAACGTTTTTGAAACTGTCTTCTGAGTGGTAGCCGTATTTCTCGCTAATGTCGTGTCTGAATACCTGTCTGAAGATGTCGAAGAGCCACAGCGGTCGGACAAACACGTACTGCTTCAGGGTTGGGATCTGGGAAAACCAGATGATCTTGCCGGTGTCATGGAGGTATCGAGAGATGTCGTCAATGAGATGTTTCATCCCGAACTTGGAAGTTATCTCCCCTGTGTACTGCTCATATGTCATGATTGGCACCGGCATGTTGTTCCCCCTTTCCTCGATGTACGTCTCCACCTCCACCCAGAACGTTGGGATCACTCGCATCACGTTGGGGAACAACTTCTCCTCCCCGGCCAGGGTCTCCACAGCGGAGCGGAAGGTATCAAATCCTGTGTATTTGAACGAACTGGTGACTATCACGTCTGTCTGGACCGTGAACTTGGCCTGCAGGAGTTTCATGTAGGACTTGAGTTGTTCGGACAATGTTGGAGAGATGTTGGGCTTTTCCTCAATGACCTTGATTCTCTCCTGAACCATCCGTCTCTGTTGGTTCAGATGATCCTGTAGCTGTTTTGGAACCTCCGTGGAAATTTCTTTGATCCTGTTCCTGGAGATGAGATCGCTGTGAGTCCCTACCAGGATCACCACCAGTTTGTTGGTTTTGGCTACCATCCAGTCAAACCAACTCCCGATCATTTCCTCAAACTTTGAAGTGGTGTACTCCGCCATGTTGAAAGTCAGAACCGTGATTGAAGGAAGCTCAAAGAAGATGTAATGTGGATAAAGGTAGAAAGGATGACCACAAAAGTCCCAAATACACAGATTCAGAGACCTGCCCGGTCTTCCTTGTTCAACGTCATAGTCAAAACTGGTTTCGTAGGCATCAACTCCAGCAGAACTCTCAAACACCTCCTCTGCAATCCGCGGTTGCCCGTCGACCAAAGAGTGAGCGAAGCTTGTCTTACCACTCTTGTGTGACCCAAGTAGCAGAATCTTTATTCCTTGGAATACTTTAGCCTCTGCCTGTGACTCCTGGAAATACTGCATTATAGACCTGAGACCAGACTCACAAACATCTAAGGGTGGGTATGTGAGGGGATTCCCTTCTAACACCAACTCCTGGTCGGTGTTCCATTCTAACTTTTTGATAATGTTCCATGATAGCACTTTGAGTCTGTTGCTTCCGAGGTCGAGTTTCTTACACATGAATAGCAAGTGACCGGGGAACTTTGTCAGATTGTTACCCGAGAGATCAATTTCACTGATCAGATGCCTGCTCTGGACTTTCACAGTGAACGTGGGCACCTTGGTAACCTGGTTATGACTAGCGTTCAGCGCCTCCAGTTGCGGCAGCAGGAACACATCCGTGGGGAGAACTGACACTCTGTTACTGGATATATCTAGGTCATTCAGCAGCCTTAGGTTGCGTATATCATTGGTCACATCTCTAATGTTGTTGTCGCTGCAACGCAGAATCTCCAACCTCCGCATATGTCCAATGTCTTTGAACACCGCACCGAGATTGTTATTGTCCACGACCAAGATCTGAATCCTCCTCAGCTTCTCCAAGCCCTTCAAGCTCTCCAACTTGTTGTTGCTAAGGTCGATTCTGCAAAGGTTCTTCAACCTTTTAAGACAAGTAGGAATCTTCGTCAAATGGTTGTCATTCAGTCGAAGTTCAAGAAGGTTCTCCAGCATCTTCATGCTGTCAGGAAAACCGGCGTCCCCGAGACTGTTGTTCCCGAGGTCCAACTTCTCCAGGTGGACCAGACAGCCCACGAGTGTCTCGGGAACCGTCTTCAGCTTCATGCCGTTGATGGTCAGACGTCTGATGGTGTCCGAGAGCCTCTGAACCTGGTCCAGCGTGTCTTTGCTGACCTCGAGGAGTCGCACGGACACTGCCTTCTCTCGGCTGGGGGTGGGCAGTCTCTCTGGGTTGAGATGCCGGGCCTGTTCGAAGCCCATGTGGGTGAGGGGCCTGGGGCCATAGGGGCTCTGGAACCTCGGAAGGGTCTGTTTGTTTCTACTTCTATTGTGAGCTTTCATGGCTGTAGCCATTATCCGATGTCTGAAGAGTTATCCATATTCCATCCTTTGTGTTGGAATCTGAAATGATACGCCATATATACGTACGTATGAAGTATTTATAGACATTTATATTAAGAACAATTAGAATACCGTCATCATTTCTGTGACAGTGTATGCGTATTGTTTTCGCACCCCGACCCTCACGCCTCTCACTTTCTCTCTCTGACTCTCTCTCTCTCTGTGTTCCATTCATCCACCAGACAGTTACAGTCTCTCTCGCCCCTCTCTCTCTCTCTCTCTCCTCTCTCTCTCTCTCGTCCCTCTCTCTCTCTCCCTCTCTCTCTCTCTCTCTCTCTCTCTCTCTCTCTCTCTCTCTCTCTCTCTCTCTCTCTCTCTCTCTCTCTCTCTCTCTCTGTTCCATTCATCCACCAGACAGTTACAGTCACGCCTCTCACCCCTCTCTCTCTCTCTCTCCGTTCCATTCATCCACCAGACAGTTACAGTCACGCCTCTCACCCTCTCTCTCTCCTGTCTCTCTCTCTCTCTGTCTCTCTCTCTCTCTCTCTCTCTCTCTCTCTCTCTCTCTCTCTCTCTCTCTCTCTCTCTCTCTCTCTCTCTCTCTCTCTCTCTCTCTCTCTCTCTCTCTCTCTCTCTCTCTCTCTCTCTCTCTCCCATTCATCCACCAGACAGTTACAAGTCACTTGTTCCCAGTCATTAATCTCTCTCCTGTATCCTGTAAGTAAATCCCTGCACTGACACCAACCCTCCAGAACTAGTTGCTATATTCAGCCCCCTTTCTCCTTCTATTTGTTTCCAGCAGAAGGCAAACTACTAATGGAAAATACCACTCACGAATATGCCAATATGTAAGCCAATACCCCCACCATTGTTTAATAACCCAGATAACTGCCAAGTCTGACAATGTTTCTCCAGCTGGGATTGTTAGGTCTGTATATGCGTGACATATCCTTCTATCTACCGAATAACTTTGATATCGGTTGAAATCCTTTTTGATCGACTGGGAAATTGTCCCTCCTGTTCTGCTATATTGTAACCCGTTGATCGGTGTCTGTTAACTGAAGCGATTCCTATCAACGGTCACAAGTAACAAAATGTAATTAGATAGCTAACCTACATAGGACATTTGTCATAAAACGATACCCACCTATTCAGTTTTGTATCAACATAACGCGGTAAAGCCCTACAACAAAAGGCGATTTTTTCCGACTGCAGCACAAATCACGGAACGTCGACATGGATGGTTAACCACTTAAACAACAATACAAAGAATGACATATGCTCCGTTAACCTATATCGTGTTAAATTCAATTGTATAAGTGTAGATGAATGTCAGAGCGGTTTTAGTTTAAGCAATAACGTACTTGGTATTCACCACGACTTCACTGCAAAGTTTGACATATTGATCTATCGTAATAACACCAGAGTGTTATGCATTCAGGTTTCAAATCAACGCGAATAATTGATTAAAAAATATTACCGATAAGGTTATTTTGTTAAAAGTAGTCTTAATATCATAACTGTCGTTGCTTTTCAATGAAGTATTATGTCTTTGACGGGGAAATTAAACCAAATATATTGTTTGTGTGGGGGCTTGTGATTTGATTTAGAACAGCGCTTTTGAATACCAACATGTTTTTTGAATCCACAGTGGCGCACTCTCTTTATCTCGGTGTCTGCACAATAAGGTATGGTAACGAGGCACACCTCTACGAGGGCTGGCACGCAATCCCTCAAACATCAATGCTGCAGTAAAAGTGTTTAATCTAAAAAACAAGCTCATTAGAGCGATGCGGGATTTGTGGAGTGTTGCGGAATTACATTATAGCATGGGAGAAGTCCTATGTGCCGTGGACGTGATTGTTGAGTGTTCGTTCAGCATTGTGGCATGGCACTGTCAAATCGTTCACTCACATCGTCTTAAAGGGAGTCACTGTTCAAACGGCTGGTGCTCAGGTCTTGCCTTATATTAGATTTTATAATTAAGACATGAGTGATTCTGAGACTTTGTCACTGCAAAATTTCGGTCTACATCTCAATTGTTACATGGCATAGTTTGCAGGGGCTGCTGCTTTTCGCGCGCTTAATTCCCCTTTAAAATAAAGCCCGGTCAAGTTAAATATAACAAGAAATACAACTTGTGCAAAATTATCTGTCCATCTATCTATCTATCTATCTATCTATCTATCTATCTATCTATCTATCTATCTGCGGATGTGTGGTAGCCTAGTGGTTAAAGCGTTCGCTCGACCCGGGTTCGATTCCACACATGGGTACATTGTATGAATCCCATTTATGGTGCCCCACCCCCCACCCCACCCCTAATATCTATCTGTCTATCATGTGGGCGTGGTCTTCCAATTGTGTTAATTGCATAGCAACGCTGAATAGTCTGTCTGTTGTGTAGATGCGTCTATTACACATACATGTATACTATGTTTATTTGTTGCCTTATTGCTTCCTGGTGAATAGACGCACCGCCTCACCTGTGTCTAATCAAGCAGCCTTAGACACACACGTACAAATATCGCACAAAAATCTCCGATTAGAATTCCTTTCCAAAACCCGTCATGCTCTGAAACAGCCTTTGTATCGCCCAGTGTCAGGGGTATTTACGGTAATGTCAATATTTCGTTTCATTCAAAACCATATTACATTGACAATAGTGGTGACGAATGTTACTCTATGTTTATGACCTTTATCTGATTAAACAAGACAAGATTGTTGGCGTTGGTGTCATAAAAACCTAAGTGTTTGTAAGTTACTCTTAGAACAGTTTTTCAATTCTGTTATTTTATTATTTAGTCTTTTAGGAAACCACCTAATTCCAATACTCAATTAAAAGCCGTTGGCAACGTCTCAACTGGGTACGGTATTTGTGACTGGTTGCCTGGTTTGTTGCTAACGCAGCACTCAGCAATATTCCAGCTATATGACGGCGGTCTGTAAATAATCGAGTCTGAACCAGACAATCCAGTGATCAACAGCATGAGCATCGATCTACACAATTGTCCACCAAGTCAGCGAGCCTGACCACCCGATCCCGTTAGTCGCCTTTCACAAGCATGGGTTACTGAAGACCAATTCTAACCCGGATCTTCACAACTAAGTATTTGTGATGTGCTTGGCAACACGTCTGTGATTTGATAGTCACAAGGAGATACGTATAGTTGAATACACATGTTAAATTATTGTGACCAACCTTTCTGTATTATATTGCTGAAATACTGCCGTTGTGACTAGAAATCTGGGCCTAGATTTTCGAAGCTCTCTTAGCGCTAAGATAGTCGTAAGTGCCATACATTAACATTACCTTACGACTATCGTATCGCTAAGAAAGCTTCGAAAATCTAGGCCCTGAACTCTTAAGTCACAGTGAAAACGGAATACTTACGTCGTTTTTTGGAAAACACTCACAAAACAATAGATGGGTACTTTCTTTTGTACGTCAGTTTAGTTATCAGTGTAACACCATATTTATTTATTTATTTATTTATTTATTTATTTATTTATTTATTTATTTATTTATTTATTTTTATTTATTTATTTATTTATTTATTTATTTATTTAAATTTACCAAACATATGGATGTGAGACTGAGTAAGGTTGTTCTGTCCTGTCCTGGTCTGAATTTCTATTAATAATTTCATATAAGTACAGAAGAACTCCTGTTATAACGAGCTCGAAGGTACCACTAACTTTAGTTTGTTATAACCGTACTTCGTTATACGCATTTCGACAAAAACCCGGAGCCGAAAAAAACAGTTCGTTATATCCGTCACTTCGTCAAAGGTGGGGCCGGTGGGATTACCGAATCCTTGTGCTACTAACGGACGCAGTTCTACGTAGACGTTATGTTGCCTTCGACCACTGGGTCACCTCGACCACCGATAGTTTGACAGGTCTATTACACGCCTATCACAATTCATCAGGGCGGTGGGGTAGCCTAGTGGTTAAAGCGTTCGTTCGTCACGCCAAAAGCTCGGGTTCTTTTCCCCACATGGGCACAATGTGTGAAGCCCATTTCTGGTGTACCCCGCCGTGATATTGCTGGAATATTGCTAAAAGCAGCGTAAAACAATACTCACTCGTTAAAAGCGTGTTCGGTATAACGTAACTTATATACGGTGCATGTTGAAAAAAGTACTGAAATCAATTGTTTGTGTGTCTCCATTTTTAGGCATTTAAAAACACACCCCATGTTCACATCGTAAGCAGATATATTCCAATCGTGCCCACCAACGTCTATCAACACGTCGTTTGATACATGCAAGTGCATATTAAGGGCACTTTAACTGATATAAAACGCCAAGTACCTAACCCTCTAGAGTGTTTACTTTACATGCCAATGCCACTCTGGGGGTTTGGTGAAAGACGCGTGTCAACATTAACACAATAATCGCCACTTTTATTACAGATATAAATGATGTGTAATATGTGATTGTAAACACCCTGCACTGTGCATTCAACAAATGACGCGATCTACCTGAACCCTATGCCGCGACCTTATTTGATAGACGACCTGCCATGCAGAGAGTGGTGGTCGATATCTGCAATGCATTGTGCACAATGAATCGATGAAGTTAAAGGGGCACTAAGCTGAGTTTAAACTGACAGGCCCAGCAAGGTTCTACCCACTCTTTCTGCTGTAATTCCATCATGTATGTCAATCTAGTTGTGGGTAAGTGATAAGTATCAATGTCCCAGTGTAACGCATGGCGTTTTCTAGACATGGACCGGGAATGAGACCCAACCGAGGCCCCCTTTAACCTCTGGGTTCTTTATTTACCTGAGTTGTGTGCCTGAATACAAGCTATAGCGGTCGCTATGTGCTCTGTCGTACGACCCGTCAACAGGCTGAGTGCCAAAGAATGCAGTGATACAATGTTAATACTTGCCTCTTTAATATGCAACATTTATGCGAAAACGCTTACCTGTACAATGTAACATGAATGCAAATGCAGTGAACATATTTCCTTGGACTGACTGACTGACTGAGTTTAGTTTTACGCCGCTTTTAGCAATATTCCAGCAATATCACGGCGGGGGACACCAGAAAT